CACACAAACACACATACACACACAAACGCACACAAACACACACACACCTGCCACTGTGTAACGACGACACTTTTAATTACAGGTGACATTATGAAACACTAAACACAAAACATGATAGAATGACACTGCTGCGACGCTACTAACATGAACCTGATCATCACTGTATATGCTTCTTGTAACATACCTTCCATTTAATTAATATATTTTATTTGAAACCCATTCTGAACTCAAAACTTTAAGTTCATTCGAAACTATAAATTCAAACGTCATTGTAAAAAAAACCATGTTCAAATACAAATATATTCTAATCAACACAAAACTACATTTTTAACATCCATGTCAAAGTAATGACATGCAATGGCAACATTAGCATTCAGCAGACGTTTTCAAACGAAGAACACAATTAAACACGGTATGAAAATGATAAAAAAAACGTTGTTGCCTGATTTCACTCCCGAAATTGAAATCCGTAACAGTTTCTGTGTCTTGTAAGTAAAACCACTTTGTTTGTTTGTTTTGTTGTTGTTGTTGTTGTTTGTTTTTTTTGGGGGGGGGGGTCTAATATAAGGAATGTAATAGTGAAAAAGTTGGTCGGTTCATCGAAAATCATTTTTAAAAAGAGAATGCATTGGACAGGAATTTTCAATCATCTCAGAGTTATATTTGGTTCCTTAGGGGATAAAAAAGCCTATATCAATCTTGGCCTAGTTGGGGTCCTTATAAATATTATGACTCTAAAAGCTTGTAATGGCTACAAAAATTATTTTTAGTCATACATAAATCCCTTTGAATATTTGTATTGGAAGATGATCTTTGCCGTCGGCGGTATAAAAAAAATCCTTGTCATTCTTATTTTCTTTTTTTAATTTTCGATATTTACGGTCGTAAACCAACCACAAATTATAAGGTCTCATAAGTACATGTTCTCCCTATTAAGCTGCCCAGCCCATCAAGACAATAGAACACAGAGAGAACTGATACTCTGAGTGTTATCACATGTCTCCTGGATACATTGACCCTAACAAACTTCCAGATGACCTAGCCATCACATCAGAGCCTCCTTGAATACAAATTACATTCATTTCCCAACCAAACCCCATGCAAGCGTTCTCCATATCCGCTCGGCATTGACAGCAGTCAGCTATTCAGCAATCAACACGTGTTAATCAATGTCATGGTCGCTCTGAAATATACAAGAAATTTACAACATATCTGAGGTTGTTTGAAGATCAATTGGATTAGTGCGAACAAGGCTATGTAAGGCTCTAGTCACGACGACGTATTATGTGTTAGATGCCATATATCATTTAGATTGGTTGCAATGAAATCTTTTGTTGACATGTTCACAGACAAAAAAGTCTAATAAAATCTAGTTATTAAATCAGCGATGAATATTATTCAAGTTTTGACTTGGTTCCTCTTCATTTAAAGAGCAGTTGGTAGAAAGTGTGAAGGACATTATTTGTGTTTCCTTAATATGGCTGGGTTGTTTCTTAAAGTGACGTGTCTCCTTAACATGGCTGGGTTGTTTCTTAAAGTGATGTGTCTCCTTAACATGGCTGGGTTGTTTCTTAAAGTGACGTGTCTCCTTAACATGGCTGGGTTGTTTCTTAAAGTGACGTGTCTCTTTAACATGGCTGGGTTGTTTCTTAAAGTGACGTGTTTCCTTAACATGGCTGGGTTGTTTCTTAAAGTGACGTGTTTCCTTAACATGGCTGGGTTGTTTCTTAAAGTGACGTGTCTCCTTAACATGGCTGGGTTGTTTCTTAAAGTGACGTGTTTCCTTAACATGGCTGGGTTGTTTCTTAAAGTGACGTGTCTCCTTAACATGGCTGGGTTGTTTCTTAAAGTGACGTGTCTCCTTAACATGGCTGGGTTGTTTCTTAAAGTGACGTGTTTGCTTAACATGGCTGGGTTGTTTCTTAAAGTGACGTGTCTCCTTAACATGGCTGGGTTGTTTCTTAAAGTGACGTGTTTGCTTAACATGGCTGGGTTGTTTCTTAAAGTGACGTGTCTCCTTAACATGGCTGGGTTGTTTCTTAAAGTGACGTGTCTCTTTAACATGGCGGGGTTGTTTTTTAAAGTGACGTGTCTCCTTAACATGGCTGGGTTGTTTCTTAAAGTGACGTGTCTCCTTAACATGGCTGGGTTGTTTCTTAAAGTGACGTGTCTCCTTAACATGGCTTGGTTGTTTCTTAAAGTGACGTGTTTGCTTAACATGGCTGGGTTGTTTCTTAAAGTGACGTGTCTCTTTAACATGGCTGGGTTGTTTCTTAAAGTGACGTGTTTCCTTAACATGGCTGGGTTGTTTCTTAAAGTGACGTGTTTCCTTAACATGGCTGGGTTGTTTCTTAAAGTGACGTGTCTCCTTAACATGGCTGGGTTGTTTCTTAAAGTGACGTGTCTCCTTTACATGGCTGGGTTGTTTCTTAAAGTGACGTGTCTCCTTAACATGGCTGGGTTGTTTCTTAAAGTGACGTGTTTCCTTAACATGGCTGGGTTGTTTCTTAAAGTGACGTGTCTCCTTAACATGGCTGGGTTGTTTCTTAAAGTGACGTGTTTGCTTAACATGGCTGGGTTGTTTCTTAAAGTGACGTGTTTCCTTAACATGGCTGGGTTGTTTCTTAAAGTGACGTGTTTGCTTAACATGGCTGGGTTGTTTCTTAAAGTGACGTGTCTCCTTAACATGGCTGGGTTGTTTCTTAAAGTGACGTGTTTGCCTAACATGGCTGGGTTGTTTCTTAAAGTGACGTGTCTCCTTAACATGGCTGGGTTGTTTCTTAAAGTGACGTGTCTCCTTAATATGGCTGGGTTGTTTCTTAAAGTGACGTGTCTCCTTAACATGGCTGGGTTGTTTCTTAAAGTGACGTGTCTCCTTAATATGGCTGGGTTGTTTCTTAAAGTGACGTGTTTCCTTAACATGGCTGGGTTGTTTCTTAAAGTGACGTTTCTTCTTAACATGGCTGGGTTGTTTCTAAAAGTGACGTAAGACAACTCATTCACTTACTCACTGACTTCTGACAGTGAGTGAGTGAGTTAGCGTGGTTTTACGCCGCTTTGAGCAATATTCCAGCAATATCACGGCGGGGGACACCAGAAATGGGCTTCAAACAACGTACCCATGTGGGGAATCGAACCCGGGTCTTCGGCGTGACGAGCGAACGCTTTAACCACTAGGCTATCCCACCGACCCGACAACTGACAGATAACAATATGAACAGAACAGAATAGACTATGCATATGTAATAATGTAGACATATATGTTGTCAAACTCCGGCAATCAAGATATTATATTATTGTCTGCATCAACAAATACAATAAACATTCATGTTTTATATGTTTTATATTTTCTCTTTCTGTTTTATTTCATATATGCTTATTGTTTTATTTCTGTCACTCTAATTGTTTTATCATTTCCGGCTTGTAATAAAACGAATATTCATAGATTTCATTCATAGGGCTACAAGCAGGTATTGACCGCCTCCGTGGTCTAGTGGAAGAGCGTCCGCCCGGAGAGCGGAAGGTCCGGGTTTCGACTATAAATCGGCATCAGTCCGGTCTAGTACAAGCAGCCACACACATACGTGCATGCACGTCGCTATATAAGTGAAATAATCTTGGACGCGACGTTAAACTCCATTTGACCACCTCACAAGCAGGTATTAATGTCTATACAGCGTTTAGATTTAGTTGTGTTGAAATCCAAATCACTTCTTTATTTATTGCACATCCTAAATGTAAACATGCGGGAAAAGAAAATATACACTTGAAAATTGGATTTGACCAACGAATTACAAACGTTATAAAAACATTACCAGGCTGAAAACAATCGCCGTAACACTGTAACCATAAGGCCTAAAACACAACTAGGATTCCTGTATCAAATACATCACCATCGAATAATCTTTTTTGTTGTTTCATTTTTATCCATCAAACATGGTATATTTATTTTGACTGGCAATATTATATTATAGTAAATATTCAACTATGACTGAGAAATTAAGAACTCCGTTGAACCCACTCGTACTGTTAATTTCCGTTGTCAACTTATTAAAAGTTAATAGAAAGTTCATGAACATAAAAAAGTTTTCTTATCTGAGCAATATGTTGTTATATTCATAAAATAATATATTTTTAATATTTTCAAAAAGTCTTTAAATTAAAACCAATTGAAAAACAGCTGCAATATATAAAAAAACTATAAATTATAACAGTCAGTTTCCATCCCCATTTCGTGTAATGCTATCAAAAGGCATCGGGGGAAAGTGAAAACAAACGCAACAAAAGCAAATTTCGCACGCTCAACATCACGATGACAGTTATACGTCACACACCACTTATTTTACTGTTTTATTATGATGTACCTTTAATGTTAACATATTTACATATTTATAGCATGCTTATATCTTAAGAATAAACGATGTAATGTTAAAACAACAGTACTTATTATGTTACCATAAGATTATGATAATATATAAGTTTTATCGTCCATTGTCGTACGTGAAGTTTGTGACGCATCTCCAAAGCCCATGACACTGACGAACTAGCTTCCGGCGTAACGATATGGTGGACAAAGGGTCTAATGTATACGTGTATTCCTACGAGCTAACAGTATCCTTGTTCTCTTCAGGCCAAACAGTGATGTACTGAAAATAAAATAAAAATTATTCGAAACATTAATTTACCAAACTTGGGATTATAATGTTCCCACGGTACACAATAGTACATTAAAGATGGCGTTAATTTCCAGTCTATGTCTACTGTCTTGAGGTAGACATGTTTAGTGTCGTGTGAACACATTGGCCTTTTATTCTTATTAGGATGAGAAATTAGTTGTAGTTTGAACAAAATCCCAAAACTTGAATAACCAGGAGATTAAAATGCTGCTTCCATATCTTAATTTAAGTGTGAAGTAGCAGGTTATATTAGTGTACGTCTCGGATGACGTTATTTCACGTCATCCTAACACAGATACTGATGCTGTAGTCTCATCTCTTCAGTGTGTTGCGTCATCTGTAGGCCCTGGGTTCTTCACGAGTAGGACACTCCTGACGTCAGTGTCTCGTACTTTTACCTCATCGTGTGATTCTACTACCATGACAACATCAACGACAACACCGACAACTACTATTTCACCATGCGGCTACCCTCCCGCCCTCCTCAACGGGGAGATCGTCAGAATAACGTCATCGACGGCGGAGTATGGCTGCCTCGCCGGCTTCGTCATGAGCGGCCCTAAAACCATCATCTGCAGCGGCACCAACTGGGCAACCGACCTCCCTTCGTGCGCTGTCATTGACCAGAGTCCCGAGGTCTACGTGTTTGGTAAGACGGGAATGCTTTAATTTTATCCAATTTGTCGTCATTTTAAGAAACGTGTTAGTTTTAATGAAATAATTGTGAACGGGTAAAATGTTGCTTTGGAAAGAATATCAGTTATAAAACGGCATGTTAGAATATTGTGGAAAGAATATCAGCTATATCAAGCCATGTTAGATTTTTGTAAATTATAAATATTCGCAAGATGCAAAATGCCCTGCTGGTATACGGTATAGCTCTGTCAATTTCATTCTCCATTACTATACCTACGGAGTGAATACGAGAAGCATACGATGTTTTTTAGGGTTTTACAGAGCTCCAGATAAGCTGCGTTTCTTCGTAAAATACGCATCAGAAATGCAGAAATACGCAGTAAAATAAAATCCAAGCGTATCAAATACGCAACGAACATTACAGATACGGTACAAAAATAAAACGTGTGCGTATCATCAAAATATTGTGAAGTAACCATGCGTATTCGATTAGCAAATCAGCAACTTATTTTGAAATTATAAAACGGGCATTCCGTCAACCTTGCCAAACTCCACGATGACAGTTACATCATGATCATTTGCCATCACACTTTCTTGTGGAAGTATCGTGGTATTTTTGAGTCCAATAAAGCTCTCGAACCCACACGACACCAGTTTGCAGGGACTAGATGAATAGTGTTTTTAAATATTTAACTTAAATATCCACATGTGTAAAAACTAGTGGCTAACAGAAATTTGAATACCCAGATAGAATTACTGATACCCAATGATTTTAAAATGCATGGGTAAAATACCCACAACACCAAAAGCTTACCCGGAGCTCTGGTTTAAAAACTTTGTAAAAACACATCACTTCATGCACACTTATTGAAGATAAATAAACGTTCTTTTAGACAACTGCAACATTTTATCCCGTTTATTCGCTTCAAGTTCGATGGAGCAACCGAGATATTACAACGTTTGCTCGTTGTGCTCTCACTGAAATTCTGTTCAAAGCGGCGTTAAATTCAACACACTCACATACCGCAGACTGTGTTCCTCAGACCAAGTCATGATATTATAATCTCATTATCTGATTTAATACATTGGCGAAAGAGCGACCTTAGTGGTAACTTGTTGGTTTGTTTGTTTGTTGTTGACCGCCACACTCAGCAATATTCTTGTTATATGACGGCGGTTTGTAAATAATCAAGTCTGGACCAGACAATCCAGTGATTGACATCGTGAGCATCGATCTATGCAAATGAGATACGACGACATGCATCAACCACGTCAGCGAGCCTGACCACCCGATTCCGTTAGTCTGCCGAGCGCCAGACAGCGTAACATCAAGTACCATCTTTTAACGTCCTTTGGTATGACGCGGCCGGGGATCGAACCCAGGACCTTCCGCTCTCCGGGCGGACGCTCTACCACTAGACTAGGAGGTGGTCACATTATTTTGGAAGACAGATTCACGCCGAGACCCGATTTCGATTCGCAGTCGCGAAATGTGTAGAAAGGATAAAGCTCATTTCAAGTCATCCTCGAGTAACCAGGGTATTAAATCACCATTCTATTACGCTACGTACCCTGGACCCTACGTCTCCATGTCTCTTGTCATTAATATCAGAATGTCTCTTACTGATGGGTGTTATTTGACTGGAGAGATATTTTTTGCATTATACTCTTAGAATCGGGCCCAAAACGACGCTAAGGTAACGAATGGGTCCAGGGTATTTATAACAATAGAATGGAGATATAATACCCTCGGTAATCGAGGATGGTTTCTGGTCTCCCCGAATATGGATCTAGTTGGAATATTGCTTAAAGCGGCGTAAAACACTACCCACGCACTCGCTCTTTGGCAGTCGTAGTGTGACGATCTGGTTATGAAACCGGCCTCAGTTCGATACTGCAATCATGGCTTCATCCCAGTACTATATCGGGTGGCCAGGCTCACTGACTTGGTTCATACATGTCATCTTATCCCAATTTCTAAGATCGATGTTCATGATGTCACTCATTGGGATGTCTGACCCAAATTCGTTTATTTACAGACCAACATCATTTAGCTGGAATATTGCTGAGTGCGGCGTTAAACAACACCAAAAAAATGTTCATGATGTTACTATATTCTTATGAACTTCATCTCAGTACATTACAGTCAAGTAACCTCGTGTCTGACTTCCCTTTCAGAGAGCGCATTAAGTAAGTTGGACCTCCGGCCTGTAGTCGCCAAACTCCCCATTGTGTAAATGTTACTCAGCCACTCCTACACGAGTTCACTGTTAACCCACCCCTTGAGTTCTCAACCCTTCTGAATGTGATAACCTCTGCCAGCCCCATGCTGTTTGTTTAGTGCCCTGCCTGTTGTGTTTTGGTAACGCTGGCGTGTTGTTTATGTATATTGGTATCAATGGCATGGGGTGTTTCTAGTAATTGAATAAATAACTCTCAACTTTCCACTCAAAAAAAATAATATTTTTTCCCTACTTAGTATGTCCTCATACGGTTTAAGAGGTTTGACAAAACATAAAATTTCCATTAATATCGTTTTTCGTTCTTGCAAATGGAGTCGATGACATATTTGCTCGGGAAAGGAGTTTGAAAATCAAGGTGTGCCTGTCACATGATTGCATGTATGTGCAAGGATTGGCAGTTTTTCCTTATCGAAATACGTAACTGATATTATAAATCGAATTCGTGTTAATCGAATTCTGCGTGTCTATAATTTAAGTATTGATTGGTGTAAATACATATCAAGTTAATGATACCTATAAATGTTTTCAAGACATCTTGTTGGTAAGTAACAGTACATGACTTCTGTTATGGGTTTAGTGATATCTTAATATTTCAGGGCGAAATGTATCATTAAATCAAACTGTTCGTTGATAACCGCTCCCTCGGCAGGGCGAACTGCAAGCTCCAACATTGGAATTATTTTTGTGTCCTCGACGTGATTTATGAATGTTATTTCAATAACACGTAAAACTTCAGTACATATTAGATGTTTATAGGTGGGCAATATTTCAAGAGTTCAAACATCATGATCTAATGCAGATTTATATCATTAAACAGAAAAGAACTTTAAAAGTAGTGATACCTAACATAGGTGGCTTGGAATCCGAGCCTCGCCCTGATTGTTTCCAGGTTTGTCAGCACCATGTCCGTGCTCGTGGGTTTCACCAAATTGGGCACGCCAGAAACCTATGATTGTGGGTTCGAATCCCGGTTCGCACCGATTATGTTATTAGGTTTGTCAGCACCATACCCGTGCTCGTGGGTTTCACCGAAGTGGTAAACGTCTGAGACCTGCATCATTTCGGGCTTTTCTCCCACATTAAGCTGACACGCCGTGATATAACTGGAATACTGTTAAAAGCGGCGTTAAACCCAACTCACTCACTCACTCACTCACTCACTCACTCACTCACTCACTCACTCACTCACTCACTCTTCCCACGTCAGGGTGACAAATGGGGCAGAGCTGAAATACTGTTCAAAGCGGCGTTAACCCCCTGGATGCCAGAGGGACAGATGTGTCATTCCTCTTCCACCCTCACCCTCACTTTGAAGTGATACATCACGCACACAAATACAAATGTTGAAGTCTGTGGGAAATTCCCCGTTCTGTGATATCATCCACTGTCATTTTAGTCAAAGCAAAATTGCTTAAAATGTCCTCTGAAAATTCGGTACATTGTACATGTCGCCATTTTTTACATATTACTAAATCACCATTCACGGCATTCTTTACAGCACGTTTTGAAATGTATATTTAGGATATTTACTAGGAGAAATGAATTTCAAAATTTCAAAATTTTAATTTCTCACATCAAATTCTTGGGCGGTCGGGTAGCCTAGTGGTTAAAGCGTTCGCGCGTAACGCCGAAGACCTGGGTTCGATTCCCGACATGGGTACAATGTGTGAAGCTCATTTCTGGTGTCCCCTGCCTTGATATTGCTGGAAATATTGCTAGAAGCGGCGTAAAACCATACTCACTCACTCACTCACATGAAATTCTCACCAAGTGACCTGATTTACAATGAACTTGTGCGCAATTCTCGCATCACCTTCACTTTTCAGATGTTATGAAAATGTGCGTCAGAAAAATAACTCAGCATTCAACGCGTTAAGCCAACGCAACCACTCTTCAAGATAAGCATATTCTACTCAGTATTATGATGGTAATCTAACCACGACCTCTGTGTGTTGCAGCCGACTGGTGGCAATACTTCCTGGCGGCTCTCCTCTCCTTCATCGCCCTTCTCCTCCTCGCCTTCCTCATCTGGTGCTGCTGCTGGTGAGAAACCTCGTTATAACGCCAACCTTTTATAATACCAATGGGTGATAGTTGATATACCTCGCTATAACGCCACAATTTTATAATACCAATGGGTGATAGTTTATATACCTCGTTATAACGCCACTTTTATAATACCAATGGGTGATAGTTGAGCTACCTCGTTATAATGCCAACTATAAAAAATGCTTGTACTTAGTGTGACGTCGGTTTCAACAATAGTAAAAAATTGTTTCACAGTATTTCATGGGTTATTCACAAACATGCGTGTGCGCGCGCGTGGTATCGTGGGAGAAAGCCTAAAGTGATCAGATGTATATCTTTACAGCTTTTGTTTAACTTACGAGCACGGGTATGGTGCTCCCCAACCTTCAACTATAATTCGAATACACAGTCAGCGGATCCAGCAACAACACCGGGACGCAACTCTGCCCATCATCGACGCCTAGCACTTCTTAGTCACCCGTATTGTAAAATCATAGTCTAGACTGACATTGCGTGGTAAACACCTGGACTACGTTACCGAGATACGTATCAAGTAGACATTTTAATGCACGTATCAAAGTATTGTTTTGTTCACTTTTGTGTGTCCTCTTTCTTTCAAGCAATTCGGCAAAAGTATTCCCCGTTGGAAGTAGTTCCGGTGGATGTTGCAGTTCTTGCCGGAAGTCAGGAGGACGCAGCACTGCGCATGACGACATACATGATTCCCAAAGGTATTATCATTCAAGAACTGGGCTGATCGACATGGAGGATGGTATATACCTGGTGCCGATGCGACAGACGAGCAGCAAGGTAGATTATCTTTTTTAATAATTCTATTATTTTATTATCTATTTTTTTTTATTCAAATAAATAAAGCATGTGTTTATGAATCACTGTCAAACAGTGATAATATCAGGTGCCAGCGAAAAGGTGACCGTATCCTGCCCCACCGGTGGTACCCGTCACAAACACCTGCAAAGGCAAGTCAAGTGTTCATCTGAGAAGAACACGGGGACATATGGTACAAGCCAAAGCTAGGGATTTGCACTGGACATCATTTTGGTCAACTGTATCCATTAAAGGGGGACTATACTCCACTGGCTGGTGCCCATTGTCCTCTGTGTGCAAGACATTGTTATCAGTGCGATATGAAAAACTAGGACAATGTATCTCTGTGTGATTAGGCTGACCCTTAACTGCTTGATATGCAACAAAATTGATCTATCAGAAAAGAAAAGTGATGTTTCAGGAACTTGAGTCAATTTTGCTGGGACTGCTAATTAACCTGTGCGTAGCCTCCCTTTAATGATACTCTTTTCATTTTCATGACTCCCTGAGAATATATGGACGAGTGGACGAGATATCGAACCCGAACTTGTTTTGGCACCATATTCTTACCCGATTGTCTTGCAGAAACCTCCCAGTAACGGCCACGCCCCGGTGCATCCGGATAGCCCCCACCCCACGCCCCGGAGTGACGGCCAGATCCGCTTCATGCAAGTAGTCCAAGAAGTGGTGGATGAAGACAAGAACCGGAAGAAAGCCAAGCCTATTAACCAATGGATGCCTCACTCACATCCGGTTAGAAATATCAACACCAGTACAAAGTAGTGCGCGTTGGGCAGACAACATGCACAGATAAACTTTTTTATAAAAACTTGCGGACATTTTTGTATTGATCAACAATGCTCTGACGTTTCATGGATACTCAATTTTCTGTAGATATACAGGCTTACCCATCACGGGATTTCGGGAAAGACTAGATCCCCATGACCCAATGATTGTCTAGCAACTGACTATAATGAGGATCAGGTGGTAAGAGCTCGTGACCTTGAAAGATGTGGGTCATCGTTTGTTGTGTTGCTCATGCTATCAATCACTGGTTGATCTGGTCCAGGGAGTATATTTACAGCCCGTCGTGATGTAGCAGGATAGTTGTTGTCTGTTTAGTAAACATTCATCGTTGACATATACTCGCCGATAAAAGAAACGCGAATACCATACATGTTGGTTAATATTTGAAGAATTACTCATATTCGAACGATATTAATTGGTTTGATGCACAAACGAACATACTGGTATGTTGTGTAAACCGATGCTCGTGAACGCGTCACATGTGACGTCATGGATCCATGACTCGAGATGCACCATTTGTCTCGTGCAGGATTAACGTGTAAAATTTTGGAAATCACGTGCTGCATATCGTGATGAAATTAGAAACACTGTGGTAATTCTTGACTGATTGTCAGTTTTGCCATTAAGTGGTACACATTGGAAACATCTCTTCTTAACGCACATACTTCTCCAAATGTTTCAATAGTTCGCGTTTCTTTCGGCGGTGAGTCCATATTAAGGAGGTACCGTAGATATCTTTATATCTTTCACATGGGTTATATTTCGTCTGAGTGAGTGAGTGAGTGAGTATGGTTTTACGCCGCTTTTAGCAATATTCCAGCAATATCAAGGCGGGGGACACCAGAAATGGGCTTCACACATTGTACCCATGTCGGGAATCGAACCCGGGTCTTCAGCGTGACGAGCGAACGCTTTAACCACTAGGCTACCCGACCGCCCCTTATTTCGTCTGAATGTTCATGACATGTTCGTGGTCACCCTCTATTACATTACAAGAACATGTAAACATATTTCTTGGTAAACTGACATGGAAGATTTTATTTTCAGTGTGAAAATACGTTTTCAAGAGTGTCCGTATTCTTTTCAACAGGTGCATCCATCACTGGCATTTGAGACGTACAAAATGGATGATAGTATTTCAATGTTATTGCCACGAGTAGCAAAAATTCGGCAAGATAAATATATGATCCTGTTGTGACACTTAATAAAGATAACAAATGGAAATATTGAAACCGGTATCTACATGCACATTGAAAACCGGGAGCAATTCCAGATGACGTCAATACTGATGTAAACGCGTGTATCGGGTACTGTCAAGCAGAACAAATTCATGCGATGGTTAACGTTGCCAGTTCCAACGGCAGGTCATGGCGTCAGGTGGATATTCAGTAATAGTGCGGGAGAGCATATTAGGGTATTAGACTTAAAATGTTCTAGCCATGTTTTATAGCCACCGTAGCTTTTAAGAATAATCTAATAATGTCAGAGGGAACGAGAAATATCCTCATTGTAAAGGTCACTGTGTTGTAAAAACAGCTATCACAACAACAAAAATGACCTTGTTAAGTAGAATTGTAGTTCATGAACTTCTGGAAGGGTTGACTTGAGAATAAAGAAGTAAACGTGACAAGACCATTTCCAAAGTAAAAGAAATCTCTACCAAAAGCAGGGTCCATTATACGATTCCGACTATATCATGAGCATGTGTTTTTAATCACTTTCAAATAGTGATAATACCAAGTGTTCGCGAAAAAGGTTAGCGTATCCTGCCCCACCGGTGTACTCGTCACAAACACATGCAAAGGCAAGTCAATTGTTCACCTGGAAACACGGCCACATATGGTACAAGTCAAAATAAGGATCGGGAATCATTTTTTTTCACTGATGCTTCAAATTTATCAGTATGTATCAGTATGTATCAGTATGTATCGGGATGTACTTGTTCAAGCATAATTATGTATGTCAGCATGTATAGATGCTGTGTCTGTATGTATGCAGGTGAGTAAGACTGTATTCAGAACCGGATCTTACGCCACTTGTTACATCCGGGTAACAACGTCTTTGGGAAAAGTGCAGTGATGACGATACATTGATCCCCATCGCTGTGGTGAAAAAAACAATGATTTACTACGTCACTTTTTAAGAAAATAAACCTAGCAGATAATTATTGCCCCAACTACACAGAAGCATCCTATGGCACTTATCTATATGACAGAATATCTATGTGCAAACTACCTCATCAAGCATTGTGATACCGACGTTAATAGAAGGAACTGTTGTTTATGTTGTTTCTGACGCTGTCTGTGATGTTAAAATATTGTATTAATTGTTTTTGTTTATTCTGACAGATACGAACATGGGTTCACATAGGGACATTATTTGTTAATATTTGTGATTATATAAAAACATCTTGGTTTGTGTAAGAATAAAGACCCAATATATGGATATGTGCAGGTAGATATTTGTGTTTCATAGTTCTCTGTTCAACGCAGTATGTATGCATGAATCTCAGAACTATATAATCTTGTGAGAACTTCGTTCATATGTATTTGTTATGTGTAGATGTATATATAATTTATTTGAATAAACATGTCACTCAAAGACTGTCAATGTTCCTAACTGGTTGATTGATGTGTTTCTCCTCGTCTTTTGTCACAGTTCTCGTCAATCTGTCACAGTCCTCGTCATTCTGTCACACCCCTCGTCATTCTGTCACACCCCTCGGCATTCTGTCACACCCCTCGGCATTCTGTCACACCCCTCGTCATTCTGTCACACCCCTCGTTATTATGTCACACCCCTCGTTATTCTGGCACACCCCTCGGCATTCTGTCACACCCCTCGGCATTCTGTCACACCCCTCGTCATTCTGTCACACCCCTCGTCATTCTGTCACACCCCTCGTCATTCTGTCACGCCCTCGGCATTCTGGCACACCCTTCGGCATTCTGTCACGCCCTCGGCATTCTGGCACACCCTTCGGCATTCTGTCGCACCCCTCGTCATTCTGTCAGTCCTCGACATTTTGTCACACCCTTCGGCATTTCTTAAATGTCCTCGGCATTCTGTCACACCCCTCTTTATTCTGTCACATCCCTCGTCATTCTGTTACAGTCTCCGCCATTTTGTCAGTTTTCGCCATTCTGTCATAGTCATTGTTTTTGTCACTCTGAAATAGTACGTTAATTCCTCATTGGCACAAGGCGCAGAGTTATTTTGCCGTTCTCGCAAGAAATATATATAGGACATAATTAAACATGTCAAAGACTAAACAAAACCTCATATGTGGTTGTGAAGGGTCATCCGGGTACAATGTTTAAAACATTGTCTGGAAGATTACAATGTGAGGTAATAAAACATTAGCGAGAAATCTTTGCCGGCTACGTCACTATCTAAAGCACAGCAGTCGTAAAGCTTAGTACCGTGTGTGTCAATCACTGGCCTGAATGAATGCACGACACCTGCCCATGGTTACAAGAGGTGTCCACCCATTAGTTAGACGTCCCAATAGTTAGACAGCTTATAACAACAGTTTTTGGTAATGTACACTTTACATTTAATAACTTTTACAGTTTATTTATCCCAGACGAAGCAAGTGTGCTAGGTGACAGAGGTCTGTTTAGTCGCTCTTGAACTTCTGTCTTCAGTTGTCGAAAAAGCCGGCCATAGGTTGCTGCTTGGCGATCTGGCAAAAGGGCGAACACTAGAGGGAAGATGTTGGGACCAACTCTGGCATGAATGATGTATACTTGATCCCATAAACCTGGACATGCTGTGAAGGTACCATCCATGTAAAGGGTGTCAGCTTCCTGAAGGTCTTGTATCTGTTCTGCAGTGGATAACGCCAGGATCGTGTCATCGTCGCCGTCGCTGAACAGTAGAAAGGGACGTCCATCTGTTGTCTCTGACCATTTGTCTTCAATGTCTACTGCTGACTGCGACCTGGGTAACGCTGGAATGTTACGCCTGAACAAGAGCAAAGGAACAGTTACACATATGTTACATGAAATATTGATAATGATTTCATTAACTTGAAATGTTTAAGAGCGAAACAAGTTATGTGGGACCTAAAAAAAAGAAGTAAATTCTAACCAAGTCAAAAATACGAGATGATATTTACCTGTAAAGTGCACTTTTCACGCTCTGAAATGATGGCATCGCTGGCGTGTTGGCTTCATCTACTTGAGTGACTTGCTCCTCGTACAATGCCTGCATTTGTGTGGTTTCTTCTCGCGCTCTTTTACGAAGATTGCTGACAAAGTTCACTCTGGTTTCATCTTCAGGCGGATGATTATGTTCCGACTGATTGCAAAGAAAAGGGATATAACCTTACAAGAACCCAGCGGATGAAACCTTGTGGAATGGCAACCGTTTCTTTCTGAGGACGTAATTGCTGCGGTCCTGTGACTCTGATTGACGTTGACGTAAACGCTCATCCCACAGTTGCTCAATTACCCATAAGGGTTGAGATCCGGTGACCTTGACCTTTATGTTCCGAACACCCAGAAAATGAGTACAGACACGTTGTGTATGGTCATGCTGAAAAATGGCACCTTATGCTTGCAAGAGCCGTGACAACGTGTTAAGACCCAGGGTAGAATAGTTCTTCAGCAACCCGTGCTTGCCGTAAAAGGTGGCTATGCTTGTCGTAAAAGGCGACTAACGGGATCGGGTGGTCAGGCTCGCTGACTTGGTTGATGCAAGTCATCCTATCCCAATTGCGTGGATCGATGCTCATGATATCAATCACTGGCTTGTCTGGTCCAGACTCGATTATTTACAGACCGTCGTCATATAGCTGGAATATTGCTGAGTGCGGCGTTAAACAACTAACAAAGGAAAGGAAAACGTGTTAGCTGAATGATTAGGGAAACCGACATGTGTCATTAACTTGCCCAAGAAACACATGACAGATTCCATGTCTTGCCCCAGAAGGGGGCGGTCGGGTAGCCTAGTGGTTAAAGCGTTCGCTCGTCACGTCGAAGACCCGGGTTCGATTCCCGACATGGGTACAATGTGTGAAGCCCATTTCTGGTGCCCCCAGCCGTGATATTGCTTGAATATTGCTAAAAGCGGCGTAAAACCATACTCAGTCAGTCTTGCCCCTGAAAACTGATCTTCATATTAACAAGAAAACAAATGTCACAGGACATCGATATTACCTCTATCAAAGGCAATAAAACCGGCTGTGACACTTGATCAGTCAAAACGAACACGTAGACAATGTATATTCATGTAGCAGTGCAACATGGAACTAAGATATTGTACTATTTGAGAGTATGTTTGAAATTCAGTGGTGAAGGGGAGAGAAATGTGGATTTAAGTCGCGTTCAAGATTACAGCAATTATATAGCGAAGTGCATGCACGTGTGTGTGTGTGGCTGCTTGTACTATTCCGATCTTACGTCAGTTTCATAGTGCCAGCCTCTAAGAAACCATGCCGCAGTTTAACATGAATACCCTACTCAGACACAGTGAACTCCGAGCCGACCACGTTTATTTCACTTTATGTCGAGCGCCAGACAGAGTAATGCAATACCTACAAGAACACAATAATAAGGCTTCGGGGTAATTTATGCTGAATTAAAGAGTTATCGGATTGCACGTTAAGGCATTTGCTTCCTGCAGGGGGCGCCATAAACTATGGGACAGGTAATCTTTTTGATATTTGAGCAAACAGGGGTCAGCACTGTACGAGCACATGACACAGTGGCATGGGTCGAGTTCGAACCTTCTGTCCTTTGAAGTTGGACTCTGACGCGTGAGATAGGCCTCTGAAGGGAATATGTTAAATATTTAGGCATGCTTGTGACATATATTTGAGAATCAGATCGGATCACGTATAACGACATCCGTTGAAGACATTTAAATATCACGATTTTATCTTGAATAAATAGAACGGAATTAATGTTGTGTTTCCTGGGTGTGTGGGCATGTTGGTCCGTGGAAGTATTACCTCAAATGTTCGGTTTAACATACCATCATTATAAGTATGAAACCAGTACATTTCTTATGTCGGTAAATCAAAAGGGTAAAACAACATGAAACTTCGACGAAAACTGGTGATGCGTCATAGCGTTTGTAAACGTCATCACTTGTTTATGTTAAAATGAGACACACGTCATCATGTGTTTATGACGTAAGGAGACGTGGAGCACTGTGTGTCTATGACGTAAGGAGACAAGCACCTCGGAGTGTTTATGACGTAAGGAGACATGTAGCTTGGTGTGCCTATGACGTAAGAAGGCGTGGAGCTTGGTGTGTTTATGACGTTAGGATACATGGAGCTTGGTGTGTCTTTGACGTAAGGAGACGTGCAGCTTGGTGTGTCTTTGACGTAAGGAGAAATGGAGCTTGGTGTGTCTTTGACGTAAGGAGACATGCATCTTGGTGTGTTTATGACGTAAGGATACGCGGAGCTTGGTGTGTCTTTGACGTACGGAGACATGCAGATGGTGTGTTAATGACGTACGGATTCATGCAGCTTGGTGTGTTTATGACGTAAGGAGACGTACAGCTTGGTGTGTTTATGACGTAAGGAGACATGCAGCTAGGTGTGTCTATGACGTAAGGAGACGTACAGCTTGGTGTGTCTATGACGTAAGGATACATGCGGCTCGGAGTTTTTATGGTGTGTCTTTGACGTACGAAGACATGTAGTTTGATGTGTTGATGGCGTAAAAAGCGTAGAGCATGGTGTTTTTATGGCGTAAGGAGACATGAAGCTTGATGTGTTTATGACGTAAGGAGACGTGCATCTTCGTCTCTTTATGACGTAAGGAGACATGTATCTGGGTGTGTTTATGACGTAAGGAGACGTACAGCTTGGTGTGTCTTTGACGTAAGGATATAAGCAGTTCGGAGTGTTTATGACGTAAGGAGACGTGCAGTTTGATGTGTTGATGGCGTAAGAAGACGTAGAGCATGGTGTTTCTATGACGTAAGGAAACATGTACCTTGGTGTGTCTATGACGTAAGGAGACGTTCAGCTTTGTGAGTTCATGACGTAAAAAAAGACAAGCATGTAAATTATCGCGTGTTTATGTTGCAAAGTTGTCTTATTTTGTTGTAAATATACGTATGTAACACATTTACCCCAAAAAGGAATGTAAAAGTAACCACAATGCAATGTGGCCATTTCAATCATGAGTAAAATACGACATCACATACGGTGATCCGAGTCAACTTTTGGTTACAGAATGTGCAGGACTATAATACTGGGGACACTGCCCGAGCTCTGGACAGTCCCACAGCGTTAAAACAAAGTCGAAAAATATCTAATAACATTTCTAATAAATCATTTGATAAGAACGTCCAATAGGTTAACATGTGGCTATATTGTGTTGTACCTCGAGTCACACTTACCAGGCTGATCACAGCAAGTGAACAACAAGGTATAAACTAGATAACGTCGCGTCTAACAAGTCTCGGGGACGTCGGCAACGGAGGCACGCTGCAGCGTATAGTTCACGTCAACGCCGTCATCTTTCACCTCTATTACAGGGTAGGCCCGACGGTTCATATCTTTGATTGCTTCTTCACATAACATAACTGTGCAACAGTATCGACTGATATATTCTCTACACTACAGGTATAGAACAGGTGTAATTGGAAACTGCAGGTACCGTTATCTTTATCACGATGTTGTATTTAACACCAGGTTCGTGTCACGTTTATCAGTTTAGTCATTATCCTACTACATGTAGAATTCTGTTCCGGCGAGGATACGTGATACGTATGTATATATATTTTTTTTTTTAAAACAGCTACAATATAGGAACGTGTTAAAGTTATAAAAGAACATTGTAAAAAGTCTTTATCATATTTTAATATGGATATGCTTTTTATATAGTGTTGTCACTATTATCACTATCAGTTTCCTTCTCTGATTTTGATCTTTTTCAATTTAGTGATATTTGAGTTTGCAATGAACGATAAGGATATTCAGACTACTTTGATGTTCTCGTTAAGAAGCCAGTCTGTCTATACAGATTCATACATAGTGACAATTTTCTTCAGATGTATTGTTTGGGCGTTGGACGATTAAATTCCTTTCTCTCTTCGCGCTTAATGTAGTTGTGTGCACTTGTTGACAATGCTTTGTGTTGACATTGAAATATATTAAAAGTGAAGCGTGACTATCATGTGATACATGTTGCTTGATAATACCAAGCGGAACTTATTCCTTCAAACTCGTGTAACGCGTGAGTATTTCGTGCAAGATATTGTGCCTTTTATTTATGCCTTTTATTTTCAATAGGTTTTAGATTTTGTGTGTAGACGACTGTATATACTTAATTATGTGTGTGAATAATTCGAATGCATTAACTTATATAATTACAAAAAAAACGTCATTCTGGCATAATCTTTTTTCATTTAGTATAATTACCTTATCACTCCAATTATATGTAATTCATTCAGTTACTGCAAAAACCTTTGTATTCGTTTATGAAATAAGAATATATTCTATGGTATGCAAATAACATAGATGACACTAATCTAGGGTTTGGTCAGTTTTTGTTAAGATAGAGTATACCTACTTTGTAAGTAAATGTTTTTTAAGCAGCAAAATGTGGCACACGTGAAATAATACCAGTTCGCAATGATCCAGTCGGAATCGTACAATGTCTCATGATAATGAAAAGGGTTTTGTCGCTTTGATACATATTATGTGGTGTCCACATTTGACTTGGTATAACATTATCTTTGTCTATAATGAGCTTTATATCATTACGGTGATGCATATAGGCGGTAAATATTGTCTGATAGAGTTTGTAACTTATAGATGACTGGTTCTATAAGATAAACTTACATTAAAATCTAATAACACGTCCCATTTTAATTCTGGAAACCAAAAAGTCCAGAAACTCTACGGTCTTTGCCCAGTCTCGGTCAGAGGTATTTTCAAACTTAAACTTGCTGTTTTCATGGGAACATACCAAGGAAGAAAAAATGAAAAAGAAATTGTTCAAACTCAATATTTACACTATGTCGCCCATGGGCCTGCCCATGGGCGAAGATTGGCCCATGAGTAGGCCCATGGGAAGGCCCTTGCGCGAGAATATGTTCCTTCACTAAAATTTCATGTTTTTGTTTCGCAAATACATATATGTATATCTTTCAAGTAAAAGGTTTGGCCCATGGGCGAGAATATTTTCCTTTACTCAAAACTTTTTTTGTTTCGCAAATCCATATATGTATATCTTTATATATGTGTTCTTCTAACATCAATACTTAAACGACAATGATCTCTATGTTGGTCTATTTTATGTTGTTATCAATTAAGTATCATCACCCGTTTTTTCAATCAGTGAGTGAGCATGCTTTTACGCTGCTTTTAGCAATATTCCTGCAATACCAATGCGGGAGTCACTATATTGGCTTTACACAATTTACCCATGAGAGGAATCGAACCCGGGCCAACAGTGTTAAACACTGCTGCCCCCCTACCCAAAACTACCCCCACCCTGCACCTTAACGTCATTGTGTTAAAGCAAGGGCTTTCAAATTTGATGTACCTTTAGCCTTGTTTGTGTCATGCAACATATTTAGGGTTGGTGTTTTGAACGATCACAGCATACCATGTTAACATTATGACAGATATGATCGAGTTTTCAAGACAACCATCTGATCGTCGGACACAATGCCCACTACTCCAACTACGTTAACTATGCCATCATCATCATCATCAACAACAACAACAACTTCAACAACAACCACAACAACACCAATGTCCACCTTACCCCCCTGCCCCGTCCCCAAGGCGGTGAAGAACGCCCAGCCCCCTACCATCTTCGGTGATGGATCTACCGCGGAGTATTCGTGTGCTTTTGGCTTCACGATGTCCGGCTCCTCGAGGGTCTACTGCGACAGGACAACTCGACAGTGGATGGGCAAGTCGCCCTCCTGCACCCTGATTACACACCCAACTCACTGTGAGTACCATAACTAACGTCGTCCTGGGTGGATTGGGTGACGCCTAGCTGGGATTGGGTGACCGGTACACACGCTTGTTGTAGAGGTGTCTAGCTGGGATTGGGTGACCGGTACACACGCTTGTTGTAGAGGTGACTAGCTGGGATTGGGTGACCGGTACACACGTTTCTTGTAGAGGTGTCTAGCTGGGATTGGGTGACCGGTACACACGCTTGTTGTAGAGGTGTCTAGCTGGCATTGGTTGACCGGTACACACGCTTGTTGTAGAGGTGTCTAGCTGGGATTGGTTGACCGGTGCACACGCTTGTTGTGGAGGTGTCTAGCTGGGATTGGGTGACCGGTACACACGCTTGTTGTGGAGGTGTCTAGCTGGGATTGGGTGACCGGTACACACGCTTGTTGTGGAGGTGTCTAGCTGGGATTGGTTGACCGGTACACACGCTTGTTGTGGAGGTGTCTAGCTGGGATTGGGTGACCGGTACACACGCTTGTTGTGGAGGTGTCTAGCTGGGATTGGGTGACCGGTACACACGCTTGTTGTGGAGGTGTCTAGCTGGGATTGGTTGACCGGTACACACGCTTGTTGTAGAGGTGTCTAGCTGGGATTGGGTGACCGGTACAAACGCTTGTTGTAGAGGTGTTTAGCTGGGATTGGGTGACCGGTACACACGCTTGTTGTGGAGGTGTTTGGCTGGGCATTGGGTGACCGGTACACACGCTTGTTGTAGAGGTGTCTAGCTGGGATTGGGTGACCGGTACACACGCTTGTTGTGGAGGTGTCTAGCTGGGATTGGGTGACCGGTACACACGCTTGTTGTAGAGGTGTTTAGCTGGGATTGGGTGACCGGTACACACGCTTGTTGTGGGGATGTTTGGCTGGGCATTGGGTGACCGGTACACACGCTTGTTTTAGAGGTGTCTGGCTGAGATTGGGTGACCGGTACACACGTTTCTTGTAGAGGTGTCTAGCTGGGATTGGGTGACCGGTACACACGCTTGTTGTAGAGGTGTCTAGCTGGCATTGGTTGACCGGTACACACGCTTGTTGTAGAGGTGTCTAGCTGGGATTGGTTGACCGGTGCACACGCTTGTTGTGGAGGTGTCTAGCTGGGATTGGGTGACCGGTACACACGCTTGTTGTGGAGGTGTCTAGCTGGGATTGGGTGACCGGTACACACGCTTGTTGTGGAGGTGTCTAGCTGGGATTGGTTGACCGGTACACACGCTTGTTGTGGAGGTGTCTAGCTGGGATTGGGTGACCGGTACACACGCTTGTTGTGGAGGTGTCTAGCTGGGATTGGGTGACCGGTACACACGCTTGTTGTGGAGGTGTCTAGCTGGGATTGGTTGACCGGTACACACGCTTGTTGTAGAGGTGTCTAGCTGGGATTGGGTGACCGGTACAAACGCTTGTTGTAGAGGTGTTTAGCTGGGATTGGGTGACCGGTACACACGCTTGTTGTGGAGGTGTTTGGCTGGGCATTGGGTGACCGGTACACACGCTTGTTGTAGAGGTGTCTAGCTGGGATTGGGTGACCGGTACACACGCTTGTTGTGGAGGTGTCTAGCTGGGATTGGGTGACCGGTACACACGCTTGTTGTAGAGGTGTTTAGCTGGGATTGGGTGACCGGTACACACGCTTGTTGTGGGGATGTTTGGCTGGGCATTGGGTGACCGGTACACACGCTTGTTTTAGAGGTGTCTGGCTGAGATTGGGTGACCGGTTCACACGCTTGTTTTAGAGGTGTCTTGCTGGGATCGGGTGACCGGTACACACGTTTGTTGTAGAGGTGTCTAGCTGGGATTGGGTGACCGGTACACGCGCTTGTTGTAGAGGTGTCTAGCTGGGATTGGGTGAGCGGTACACGCGCTTGTTGTAGAGGTGTCTTGCTGGGATTGGGTGACTGGTACACCAGCGTGTTGTAGAGGTGTCTTGCTGGGATTGAGTGACCGGTACACACGCTTGTTGTGGAGGTGTTTGGCTGGGATTTGGTGACCGGTACACTCGCTTGTCGTAGAGGTGCCTTGCTGGGATTGGTCGACTGGTACATACGCTTGTTGTAGAGCTGTCTAGGTGGGATTGGGTGACCGGTACACGCGCTTGTTGTAGAGGTGTCTAGCTGGCTATTGGGTGACCGGTGCACACGCTTGTTGTAGAGGTGTCTAGCTGGGATTGGGTGACCGGTACACACGCTTGTTGTAGAGGTGTCTAGTTGGAATTGGGTGACCGGTGCACACGCTTGTTGTAGAGGTGTCTAGTTGGAATTGGGTGACCGTTACACACGCTTGTTGTGGAGGTGTCTAGCTGGGATTGGTTGACCGGTACACACGCTTGTTGTGGAGGTGTCTAGCTGGGCTTGGTTGACCGGTACACACGCTTGTTGTGGAGGTGTCTAGCTGGGATTGGTTGACCGGTGCACACGCTTGTTGTGGAGGTGTCTAGCTGGGATTGGGTGACCGGTACACACGCTTGTTATAGAGGTGTCTAGCTGGGATTGGGTGACCGGTACACACGCTTGTTGTAGAGGTGTCTAGTTGGAATTGGGTGACCGGTGCACACGCTTGTTGTAGAGGTGTCTAGTTGGAATTGGGTGACCGTTACACACGCGTGTTGTAGAGGTGTCTAGCTGGGATTGGTTGACCGGTACACACGCTTGTTGTGGAGGTGTCTAGCTGGGATTGGTTGACCGGTACACACGCTTGTTGTGGAGGTGTCTAGCTGGGATTGGTTGACCGGTGCACACGCTTGTTGTGGAGGTGTCTAGCTGGGATTGGGTGACCGGTACACACGCTTGTTATAGAGGTGTCTAGCTGGGATTGGGTGACCGGTACACACGCTTGTTGTAGAGGTGTCTAGTTGGAATTGGGTGACCGGTGCACACGCTTGTTGTAGAGGTGTCTAGTTGGATTTGGGTGACCGTTACACACGCGTGTTGTAGAGGTGTCTAGCTGGCATTGGGTGACCGGTACACACGCTGCTTGTAGAGGTGTCTAGCTTGGATTGGGTGACCGGTGCACACGCTTGTTGTGGTAGTGTCTAGCTGGGATTGGTTGACCGGTACACACGCTTGTTGTGGAGGTGTCTAGCTGGGATTGGTTGACCGGTACACACGCTTGTTGTAGAGGTGTCTAGCTGGGATTGGGTGACCGGTACACTCGCTTGTTGTAGAGGTGTCTAGTTGGAATTGGGTGACCGGTACACACGCTTGTTGTGGAGGTGTTTGGCTGGGCATTGGGTGACCGGTACACACGCTTGTTGTAGAGGTGTCTTGCTGGGATTGGGTGACCAGTACACACGCTTGTTGTGGGGATGTTTGGCTGGGATTGGGTGACCGGTACACACGCTTGTTGTGGGGATGTTTGGCTGGGATTGGGTGACCGGTACACACGCTTGTTGTGGGGATGTTTGGCTGGGATTGGGTGACCGGTACACACGCGTGTTGTAGAGGTGTCTAGCTGGGATTGGTTGACCGGTACACACGCTTGTTGTGGAGGTGTCTAGCTGGGATTGGTTGACCGGTACACACGCTTGTTGTGGAGGTGTCTAGCTGGGATTGGTTGACCGGTGCACACGCTTGTTGTGGAGGTGTCTAGCTGGGATTGGGTGACCGGTACACACGCTTGTTATAGAGGTGTCTAGCTGGGATTGGGTGACCAGTACACACGCTTGTTGTAGAGGTGTCTAGTTGGAATTGGGTGACCGGTGCACACGCTTGTTGTAGAGGTGTCTAGTTGGATTTGGGTGACCGTTACACACGCGTGTTGTAGAGGTGTCTAGCTGGCATTGGGTGACCGGTACACACGCTGCTTGTAGAGGTGTCTAGCTTGGATTGGGTGACCGGTGCACACGCTTGTTGTGGTAGTGTCTAGCTGGGATTGGTTGACCGGTACACACGCTTGTTGTGGAGGTGTCTAGCTGGGATTGGTTGACCGGTACACACGCTTGTTGTAGAGGTGTCTAGCTGGGATTGGGTGACCGGTACACTCGCTTGTTGTAGAGGTGTCTAGTTGGAATTGGGTGACCGGTACACACGCTTGTTGTGGAGGTGTTTGGCTGGGCATTGGGTGACCGGTACACACGCTTGTTGTAGAGGTGTCTTGCTGGGATTGGGTGACCAGTACACACGCTTGTTGTGGGGATGTTTGGCTGGGATTGGGTGACCGGTACACACGCTTGTTGTGGGGATGTTTGGCTGGGATTGGGTGACCGGTACACACGCTTGTTGTGGGGATGTTTGGCTGGGATTGGGTGACCGGTACACACGCTTGTTGTAGAGGTGTTTGGCTGGGATTGGGTGACCGGTACACACGCTTGTTGTGGGGATGTGTGGCTGGGATTGGGTGACCGGTACACACGCTTGTTGTGGGGATGTTTGGCTGGGATTGGGTGACCGGTACACACGCTTGTTGTGGGAATGTTTGGCTGGGATTGGGTGACCGGTACACACGCTTGTTGTGGAGGTGTCTAGCTGGCATTGCGTGACCAGTACACACGCTTGTTGTAGAGGTGTCTAGCTGGCATTGGGTGACCAGTACACACGCTTGTTGTAGAGGTGTCTAGCTGGCATTGGGTGACCAGTACACGCGCTTGTTGTAGAGGTGTCTTGCTGGGATTGGGTGACTGGTACACCAGCGTGTTGTAGAGGTGTCTTGCTGGGATTGAGTGACCGGTACACACGCTTGTTGTGGAGGTGTTTGGCTGGGATTTGGTGACCGGTACACTCGCTTGTCGTAGAGGTGCCTTGCTGGGATTGGTCGACTGGTACATACGCTTGTTGTAGAGCTGTCTAGGTGGGATTGGGTGACCGGTACACGCGCTTGTTGTAGAGGTGTCTAGCTGGCTATTGGGTGACCGGTGCACACGCTTGTTGTAGAGGTGTCTAGCTGGGATTGGGTGACCGGTACACACGCTTGTTGTAGAGGTTTCTAGTTGGAATTGGGTGACCGGTGCACACGCTTGTTGTAGAGGTGTCTAGTTGGAATTGGGTGACCGTTACACACGCTTGTTGTGGAGGTGTCTAGCTGGGATTGGTTGACCGGTACACACGCTTGTTGTGGAGGTGTCTAGCTGGGATTGGTTGACCGGTACACACGCTTGTTGTGGAGGTGTCTAGCTGGGATTGGTTGACCGGTGCACACGCTTGTTGTGGAGGTGTCTAGCTGGGATTGGGTGACCGGTACACACGCTTGTTATAGAGGTGTCTAGCTGGGATTGGGTGACCGGTACACACGCTTGTTATAGAGGTGTCTAGTTGGAATTGGGTGACCGGTGCACACGCTTGTTGTAGAGGTGTCTAGTTGGAATTGGGTGACCGTTACACACGCGTGTTGTAGAGGTGTCTAGCTGGGATTGGTTGACCGGTACACACGCTTGTTGTGGAGGTGTCTAGCTGGGATTGGTTGACCGGTACACACGCTTGTTGTGGAGGTGTCTAGCTGGGATTGGTTGACCGGTGCACACGCTTGTTGTGGAGGTGTCTGGCTGGGATTGGGTGACCGGTACACACGCTTGTTATAGAGGTGTCTAGCTGGGATTGGGTGACCGGTACACACGCTTGTTGTAGAGGTGTCTAGTTGGAATTGGGTGACCGGTGCACACGCTTGTTTTAGAGGTGTCTAGTTGGATTTGGGTGACCGTTACACACGCGTGTTGTAGAGGTGTCTAGCTGGCATTGGGTGACCGGTACACACGCTGCTTGTAGAGGTGTCTAGCTTGGATTGGGTGACCGGTGCACACGCTTGTTGTGGAGGTGTCTAGCTGGGATTGGTTGACCGGTACACACGCTTGTTGTGGAGGTGTCTAGCTGGGATTAGTTGACCGGTACACACGCTTGTTGTAGAGGTGTCTAGCTGGGATTGGGTGACCGGTACACTCGCTTGTTGTAGAGGTGTCTAGTTGGAATTGGGTGACCGGTACACACGCTTGTTGTGGAGGTGTTTGGCTGGGCATTGGGTGACCGGTACACACGCTTGTTGTAGAGGTGTCTTGCTGGGATTGGGTGACCAGTACACACGCTTGTTGTGGGGATGTTTGGCTGGGATTGGGTGACCGGTACACACGCTTGTTGTGGGGATGTTTGGCTGGGATTGGGTGACCGGTACACACGCTTGTTGTGGGGATGTTTGGCTGGGATTGGGTGACCGGTACACACGCTTGTTGTAGAGGTGTTTGGCTGGGATTGGGTGACCGGTACACACGCTTGTTGTGGGGATGTTTGGCTGGGATTGGGTGACCGGTACACACGCTTGTTGTGGGGATGTTTGGCTGGGATTGGGTGACCGGTACACACGCTTGTTGTGGGGATGTTTGGCTGGGATTGGGTGACCGGTACACACGCTTGTTGTAGAGGTGTCTAGCTGGCATTGGGTGACCAGTACACACGCTTGTTGTAGAGGTGTCTAGCTGGCATTGGGTGACCAGTACACACGCTTGTTGTAGAGGTGTCTAGCTGGCATTGGGTGACCAGTACACACGCTTGTTGTAGAGGTGTCTAACTGGGATTGGGTGACCGGTACACACGCTTGTTGTAGAGGTGTCTAGCTGGCATTGGGTGACCAGTACACACGCTTGTTGTAGAGGTGTCTAGCTGGCATTGGGTGACCAGTACACACGCTTGTTGTAGAGGTGTCTAGCTGGTATTGGGTGACCTGTACACTCGCTTGTTGTAGAGGTGTCTAGCTGGTATTGGGTGACCGGTACACACGTTTGTTGTAGAGGTGTCTAAATGGGATTGGGTGACCGGTACACACGCTTGTTGTAGAGGTGTCTAGCTGGTTTTGGTTGACCTGTACACTCGCTTGTTGTGGAGGTGTCTAGGTGGGATTGAGTGACCGGTACACACGCTTGTTGTGGGGATGTTTGGCTGGGCATTGGGTGACCGGTACACACGCTTGTTGTGGGGATGTTTGGCTGGGCATTGGGTAACCGGTACACACGCTTGTTGTGGGGATGTTTGGCTGGGCATTGGGTGACCGGTACACACGCTTGTTGTAGAGGTGTTTAGCTGGGATTGGGTGACCGGTACACACGCTTATTGTAGAGGTGTCTAGCTGGGATTGGGTGACCGGTACACACGCTTGTTGTAGAGGTGTCTAGTTGGGATTGGGTGACCGGTACACACGCTTGTTGTGGAGGTGTCTAGCTGGGATTGGGTGACCGGTACAAACGCTTCTTGTAGAGGTGTTTAGCTGGGATTGGGTGACCGGTACACACGCTTGTTTTGGGGATGTTTGGCTGGGCATTGGGTGACCGGTACACACGCTTGTTGTGGAGGTGTTTGGCTGGGCATTGGGTGACCGGTACACACGCTTGTTGTAGAGGTGTCTAGCTGGGATTTGGTGACCGGTACACACGCTTGTTGTGGAGGTGTCTAGCTGGGATTGGGTGACCGGTACACACGCTTGTTGTAGAGGTTTCTAGCTGGGATTGGGTGACCGGTACACACGCTTGTTGTAGAGGTGTCTAGTTGGAATTGGGTGACCGGTACACACGCTTGTTGTGGGGATGTTTGGCTGGGCATTGGGTGACCGGTACACACGCTTGTTGTAGAGGTGTCTAGCTGGCATTGGATGACCGGTACACACGCTTGTTGTGGAGGTGTCTAACTGGGATTGGGTGACCGGTATACACGCTTGTTGTAGAGGTGTCTAGCTGGGATTGGGTGACCGGTACACACGCTTGTTGTAGAGGTGTCTAGCTGGCATTAGATGACTGGTACACACGCTTGTTGTGGAGGTGTCTAACTTGGATTGGGTGACCGGTACACACGCTTGTTGTAGAGGTGTCTAGCTGGGATTGGGTGAACGGTACACACGCTTGTTGTAGAGGTGTCTTGCTGGGCTGGGTGACCAGTACACACGCTTGTTGTGGGGATGTTTGGCTGGGCATTGGGTGACCGGTACACACGCTTGTTATAGAGGTGTTTAGCTGGCATTGGGTGACCGGTACACACGCTTGTCGTGGAGGTGTCTAGCTGGGATTGGGTGACCGGTACACACGCTTGTTGTAGAGGTGTCTAGCTGGGATTGGGTGACCGGTACACACGCTTGTTGTAGAGGTGTCTTGCTGGGCTGGGTGACCGGTGCACACGCTTGTTGTGGGGATGTTTGGCTGGGCATTGGGTGACCGGTACACATGCTTGTTTTAGAGGTGTCTAGCTGGCATTGGGTGACCGCTACACGCGCTTGTTATAGAGGTGTTTAGCTGGGCTGGGTGACCGGTACACACGCTTGTTGTGGAGGTGTCTGGCTGGGATTGGGTGACCGGTACACACGCTTGTTGTGGAGGTGTTTAGCTGGGCTGGGTGACCGGTACACACGCTTGTTGTAGAGGTGTCTGGCTGGGATTGGGTGACCGGTACACACGCTTGTTGTAGAGGTGTTTAGCTGGGCTGGGTGACCGGTACACACGCTTGTTGTGGAGGTGTCTAAGTGGGATTGGGTGACCGGTACACACGCTTGTTGTAGAGGTGTCTAGCTGGGATTGGGTGACCGGTACACACGCTTGTTGTAGAGGTGTCTAGCTGGGATTGGGTGACCGGTACACACGCTTGTTGTAGAGGTGTCTAGCTGGGATTGGGTGACCAGTACACACGCTTGTTGAAGAGGTGTCTAGCTGGGCTGGGTGACCGGTACACACGCGTGTTATAGAGGTGTCTGGCTGGGATTGGGTGACCAGTTCACAAGTTTGTTGTAGAGGTGTTTAGCTGGGCTGGGTGACCGGTACACATGCTTGTTGTAGAGGTGTTTGGCTGGGATTGAGTGACGGGTACGCATGCTTGTTGTAGAGGTGTCTAGTGGGAATTGGGTGACCGGTACACACGCTTGTTGAAGAGGTGTCTAGCTGGAATTGGGTGATCGTTACAGGATGTGATGGACATACTTATAAGGTATATAACCTCCAATATAAAAATCACAAGCTGCAATTCAAATCACTGTTACAATTCTATTCGTTATACATACAAGTACCAAATATGCTGTAGACTTTCTACATTTACTTGTTTAGATTTCCTTTCACATTCGTTTTCTTGTCAACTAAAAGTTAAATGCAATTATTAGTAGTTTTCTAAATGGCAAAACAATTTGCTTCAGATCCTGTGTGGGCCTACGGTCTGATTGCCGGCCTGCTGGGGTTGATAGCCTTGACTTTCATCGTCTGTCTCCTGGCCTACTGCTGCGGGTGAGTGGCACAGCCTCGTTCTGGACCAGATATGGTGATGCCTTACACAGAAGGGCTTCCAAATTAACTAATGTCATTTCAAATACATGTCAATAAAATGCGGGAAAAACCCTTTCATAAACATAAAAAAACTATTGTATTGATACCAGATGTTCACGATAAGGTGAGCGTATCCTGTCCCACCGGTTGCACCCATCGCAAATACATGCAAAGTCAAGTCAATTGTTCACTTGAAAAGAACACGGGAACATATGGTATAAGTCAATGTTGGGAATTGCATCGGCAACTCTTTAGTCCATGCCCCTGGCATGGCGCTTTATTTTTAAAGTAAAACATAATAAAACAAGATCGAGAGATTCGGAACTGAAAGATATTCTTTTGATATGATTATGATTGATCTCATCACGGCTTGCTATCAATGACGTTTGCAGGAGTAAGCTTAGTGAGTGATATTCCAGCAGTGTCACCAGAAATGGCCTTCACACATGATACCCATAAGAGAAGTCGAACCCCGCCTTCAGGGTGACGGGCAAACGATGTTACCCCACCACCCGCAGTGGATCTGAACACGTCTAGCATGTGCTAAACGCTATATTGCAGCGTGTCCAACCTGACTTTGGCTGCCTTAGCTGCTTCATGATTTATAAGTAATGCTGAGGAAAAGTGATCCATTTTCCAGTCCAGTGACGATATTGCACAGTCAACCGTCTGTGTCATCGTTAATTCATGAAACCAGATTAAGAAATTTGAAGTTATGAATTGTCATCCAATAAAGTTATGCAAATAGAATCGTTTTCTCACAGGTGGTGTCCCAACAGTGTTTCTCCGCTAGGTGGCTCTGCTTCCGGTTCCGGTTTGTGCTGCCGGAAATCCAAACGTCGGCGACGTCGTTCTTTCACGTCGCAAGATGACGTCAGAATGACGGATGTCGAGAACAATGGCGTCTACTACGTGCCCGCACCTCGACAATATGTAAGATAAATTCATACAACCATGACATATTTATTAGTTATTAGGCCTTTTAATTTGTGGTTGGTTTACAAAATATTTGGTCTGATATTATTTAATGCAGGTGGTCGAAATTTGTTTGTTTTTTTCAAAATTCAACTTCTAAATTACTGCTGCTGCTAATAAATGAGAAAGGTAACATGGCAAGATACCTAAAGATAATTGATTGGGTTATTTTTTTTATAAATCTCGTGTTTGGTCTCGTAAAGAAACAGAACAAATATATGGCCTAATATTTGCTTATGACATTCTGCATTGCACTAATTTATGTGAGTGCAATGAATCATAATATTGTTTTTTTTCTGTCTTGCAGACGAACAACTCGCAACATGTACAGAAAACAGTCCGCCACCTTGTAGTTTCAGAGCCACATAGAGGCCAGCCCAACATGGTGAATATTCAAAATATATTTTAAGATTTTAAATTTCAAATTTGTGTATGCATTGTCAACGCCTCCTTGAAATGGTTTCTCTCAAATATCATATTTTGTGAGAAAAATAAGTCCTGCCACTGGTGGATCAGGATATCCTTACCTTTTCGCGAACAGCTGGTGTCATCACTATTTGATAGTCAATCACAAACACATTCTCATGATGAAGTCGGAATTGTACAACGGGCTCTGCCTTTAGTAAAGATTTCTTATGAATATGGAAATGGTTTTGTTGCTTTTATTTTGAGAAACGTTTCACTACACCATCTAGCAGCAATGAATTCTGTAATTGATATTTTAACCTTATTTTAACGAATAGCAGAAATGTAGTTTCTTAGGTCAAGGTTAGAACGAAAATCATATTGTATGTCAGACTTTGGAGTGGCGTCTTGTCTATGGATATGTAACTCATGACGCTTGCTTGTAACGGTGTAAAAACCTGAACCATAACGTCGCTACGATCGCTACAGTTATTATGAAGTGAACATCCGCGTTTTTTGTGATTCAGTAATCCATAATATAATTCTCATCACTTTTTCCTTTAGCTCCAAATGGGGTGTGGACGATTTATAATAAAATATGTGTATTTAACCCTTATTAGGGACACAGATATAGGTAAATCTGATTCAGTAATTCTCACTGAGCATTATAAAGTGACAAAAGAGAGTGTACATCCGTGTCCGTAGCTATGAATGATACAAACAAGAAATAGTTTTTCGAAGTTGATGTATTTGGGTTTTTTTACCTGTTTCGGAGAATGTTTTCTGCTTAGTGATGTATTGATAACACTTGCAGTTCCTTGGCCATAACCAACTTTCAAGTGCATACTTTCTTGCCAGGCAGATTATGTTTTGCGTCATGCTGATTGGCTTGCCTGCACATGTTCCAACATTGATTGCGAAGAGATCCATAGCAACGCGGCAATAATCTCGCAATAATTGGAAATAATTTATAGCGTATGGCGTCACAAACGAGTTATTTGACGTTCCAAAAAATGGGTAACTGATATATTTTCCACTAAAAATCAGAATGATTTCCCCCTATTTTCTCAGGAAAACGACCATGGGAAATACAATGAATTAATGTTGAAAGGTGGAACAATTAATTCCCTCGGGACAGATAATCCGTGACCTTTGTGGTACGTAGGTTGGTCTCCAAGTAATTCCTGTGTTTATGTTCTGCAGGTAATGGATGGCTATTACACATCGAACTCTTACGTGGTGCCGGGGAAGGCCACGCCGTCTCAGCATCCGAAGTGGATGCCCCATTCCCACCACATCCGTAACAACAATGACATCACCAGATAGCGACAACGCCAAGAAATCTAATCCATCCGTAATGTCAAGATACGCCGTCCACAGCATACCCACCTCTCCGTTACCGCAATGACGTCATCAAAGGACTCCAATTCTACATAGAGTGTCGTAACAATGGCGAACTCCATCATCAAAATGTTTGTCACGTATGAGCAAAATACTTTTATTTATTTATTCATTTTTTTTAAAGATTGGTTTACGGTTCCGCCACGCTAATGCGTTTAACAATTTTTAAGTTTACAACATTTTTATTACCAATCAGCTTTATAATTATGCGAAACCACAAATTGTTTCCCTGTCCGACCATCGCACTGACTCAAGCGCGAGAAGCAACCATGACAAATAATATTTATGTGGCCCCGGTACTCCAGTGTGTGACATTTCATGTAAACGGTATTAATCGTTTCACATCTCAATATTTTACAAAAATAACAAATGGAAAATAGAACTTCTAAATATTTGTTACCATGCATTTGCGAATCATATCGACCCTATACCTTCACAAAATAAATAAATTTTGAAGGATCGAATTTTCTTTATATTCTTATTCATTTAATATATTTAAATTGTATGATTTTGATTCAACCCCTTTGCATTTTTCTAATGCTTCTTTGTATATGTGTGTCAGTGTTGAGACTTACATTCACCTATATTGAATCATAGCTTTGCAATGAAATAATCGGTTTCTTTTAATGTATTTATAGAAGTATAGACATTATTTGATATTTTACAAGATACACAGAATGTTGCGGATATTTTTTTAAAATGTTATTTATTACATTTGTATTCCATGTAATGTTATACATGTGTGTGTAATTATGTCATGCAGTAACGTAAATTGAACTTTAATTAAGTGTAAGATTAAAGACATTTAATTGTATGCTATATAAACAACAAACGACAATGATAAATCCAGAACATTGTTTTCAATATTAGTATCGGTATTTTTTTAAATAAACTTAAGGCAGGGCACTGCATGATATGCTGAAAAAACATTGTATAAAGAACATGTGGATTTAACTCTTTTGACATTTTCAGACAATTAACAGTTTAACGTTTGAACTTAAAATTGAATGCAATGTAAAATACGTTGTGGTCGACTCTATACCTATGCTCGTTGAAGGTTTATTCTTAGATTGAAACTCTACCTGATGTTTATAGGTTGTCCACCTGTCACGTTAACCTTGAAAATAATATTCGAGGATAACAAATTACAAAACTATAACTTGTAAAAAAAAAAAATTCTCATGTTTTAAATTATTTTGTAAAGCCACTTACCTTTGAACTATTTTCGTTACATGATTATAGGCATAAACTTTTTTTCTGTTATTTGTTAGGCAATTCTAACCTGTGTAACGTTATCAATAGGATTGCACACTGGGCGTCTGAAACATCGATTATAAAACACAGTGAGAGGTTCACTCTGATAAATGTGTAATTAATGTTGAAGGAAAAACAAAATTAATTGGTAAAAAATGAATTCTTTTAAAAAGATATTAAAATTTACAGACACGTCTGAAAACATGAAAAGATATGTACTGATAAAGGGTAGATGCAGCTAACGACCAAACTATTCGGTAAAACTAGAACTACAAAGGTGAAAGTGTATATATCACCGACTTGTGGGTAGATCTCATTCTCATCTTGTCACCTGTGTGATAAAAACTATATTGCCAACTTTACTTTTGAGACAACAATTCCTTATTCAATGTTCACATAGTAGCAATACTAAACAATGTAAAAAAAGCGACAAAACCCTTCCATTTCCAATAGAAATATCTGCGTACAGCAGAGTCGATGGTGCCTCAGGCAGCCTATCTGAAGATAGAGTGAGATACATTCATTTCCTGTGTTTTACCAGTCTTAACCTCTACAAACTCTCTCACTCTATGTTGGTATTTTACCTGCGTTAATCTGATGTAAATGCGATGTAACTGAACTCCTATTGAGACCAGCGTAAACTCAAACCCTTTCTGGGCCAACTTCTATTTTCCACATCGTCACCCGTCAGAAAGTGACGATGATGATAATCAGTATTGGATACATGCAAACTATATTTTTTAAGGCCTACCTTTAGGCCTACGACAGAGACCGTCCTGACGAGAAGTTCTGGTACTGTATTCTAAAGGTGCTCCTTTTTTAATAATAATATAGAAAGATTTATCTATCCAAACTGTGTTTATTTTTCATTGTGAATAAATAGAAAAAAACACTGTCTGGGGTATAAAGTTGACATAATATAGCTTGATGATGTAGAAATAATGTACCTGAAGGGTGTCATAACATTTGGATGTGTAAGTTTGATGCTCACCGTCTCTTTCCTCCACCAATCATTTGTGTGTGTATACCAAGGTGGATTCATTTGAAGCTTCTGACAGGATTAAGAGGAGACTTATTTATTGTGGTATAATCTGTATTTTTAAAATATGTGTATCCATTTGTGTAATTGATATAATAAAATCGTTCATAAGAAACAGATTTACAATGATTATTTGGATATGTATATGTACATGTATCTTTGCTATAATAGAACCAGTCATGGCATACATTAGCATAGTAATCCTATTTGGGCTATAATTAATGTCTTGCGTTTGTTCGGCAAATATTAAGTGTCAATGAGCATATTTCGCACTGAAAACCAAAACGAAATGTAGAAATATGCCTTGAAAGCAAAGCATTCTGGCTTTTCTTTATTCATCTGAAATCCTTGTTAAATACAAAGTTTGGTTCCAGGTTGAAATATAGTGCAGAAGGTGTTTTTGTGCACTTGCAAAATTGTTGTAAAAATGGCTACTAAAACGGTCACTATGTCATAGGGGAAGTAAATATAATGTTTGGGTTTTTTGACAACCGGACACAATCACAAGACATCTTCAATGTAAGATTCCAAAAACACCAAAGCATGCTCAGGCCATATTTACTCTGATGCAAGAACGACGCCAAATGAGTGACAATAAAAGTGACATTGCTTAGCTATTTGTTATGGCCCTGACAAGGCTGAAATGTCGAAATAATGATGACCAAATCAACACAGTCTAATGACATGGATGAGCAATGACTAGACAGGCACCAAACCCCAGAGATGAAGATTATACTCCAGGCATGGTCAACCTACAATTCATTGATAAGCAGAGAAATGCCAATCACTTGTATCAGTACCCCTCCACTGAATCCTGCAGGAACACATGAATGGCAGGACACGTGAAGATTCCGGGGTAGAATAGGTCTTCAGCAACCCATGCTTGCCGTAAAAGGTGACTATGTTTGTCGTAAAACTGAGGCGACTAACAGGATCGGGTGGTCAGGCTCGCTGACTTGGTTGATGCATGTCATCGATCCCAATTGCGTGGATCGATGCTCATGATATCAATCACTGGATTGTCTAGTCAAGACTCGATTATTTACAGACCGCCGTCATATAGCTGGAATATTGCTAAGTGCGGCAAACAAGGCCGCTGCATTACCTGTATTCGTGCATACTCTGGAGTAGGCATTACTGGAAGGTTTTCAGAAAATGGAAACAGTTATGCTGGAGGGCATTACAGAATTTGAATGATGAAACATTACATGCATTTCAGCAACTTGGTACCACAGTTTGGCCCCCTGATCAATCACTCTGGCTGCTCTAGAGAAGCATATTTGTAAGTTGTATGTTCCATAACTTTGATTGTGTTCCAAAAGCACTCTGGTTGTTGTTCACGAAGAAACAGGCAAATGCAGAAAGTCTTCCACCAATGTCTTCAGCATTGAAACCAGCCATGCTGAGATCACATTTCCAAGCATAACGCCATTTGTGCTAACATTGATCTTCCTTACCTAGAAAGGTATGGCTGGACTCTAGCTGAGGACGGTTTCAAACCAATCACTACAACCCTTCCTCACGCTCCTGTGGCGATCAGTCATCTGATGCAGAGTGGAGGCCAGACCGTGTGTATGTCACAAGAACAGCCTCCCCTGCACTGAAATGTGTGCATGATCATGGGCTGACTCTTGTGAAAATGACTTCAGCATTCAGTTCAGCGATTCAGACACTGACAGTGACAGTGATGGATGAGAAACATTCAAGCCATTGAACTTTAGTTTAACTTGTCTTAGGCTATCAATACTTGTCTCAAAGTATTCTCATTAAACATGACTTGTGTGACCGACCAAATCCACTATAAACAGGAACGCATTTTTATAATTATCACATTCAAGAAGCCAAGACAGTTTGTCTTGTACTTGTTAGTAAAACCATAGGAAACACCTTGTGTTGTATCATGAGAACAGGCCTTAAATAATTATCTCTGGATCACATAAACATAAAATATGAAAACCTCTTCTTCGGGTAATGAATGGGGTGACAAGCATTTTTCTTAATCATATTATAATAGTTTTATTCAAAATATAAAGTCTATGCTAAGGTTTTGGTTGTCATTGTGTCAGTCAGTTTAGATTTTAGAGCTAAAATTATGAGAAATATATTCCTAGCCAGATACACCTTGTATTTGACCTCAAAACCATTGTTTTGTTCTGCATTCATGCAATTTGTCTGTTACGAGTAAAATGTTGGCGGGCATCTTGGATTTAGGGCTAAAATAGCTTTTGCATTCAAATTCCGATTGGAACCAATTTGTTTATTTACTTCTGATGCATCGGCTATTGGTTCGTTGTTGTATAAAATTACATGACACCTTTACCTTCAATCAACCTAAATCAACCTGCAATCAACCTTTACTCAACCTTCAATCATTCTTCAATCAACCTTTACTCAACCTTCAATCAACCTTTACTCAACCTCAATCAACCTTTACTCAACCTTCAATCAACACAATGCAATGTGCACCGGCCTGCTCCGTGAAGGTCGTTGATGGGTATTCCTGTAAAGCCGTTAAAGTAGCAGGAAATCGCACACAAAAAGAAGCTCTAATGACGTGAACTTTAATTATATCACATTATTCATACTATAGACCATGTCCTCGTGCCTCATAATCAGAATGTTTGTTTGTTATTTTGCCTTCAATCAACCTTCAATCAACCTTCAACCAACCTTCAATCAACCTTTACTCAACCTTCAATCAATCTTCAATCAACCTTTACTCAACCTTCATTCAACCTTCAATCAACCTTTACTCAACCTTCAATCAACCTTCAATCAACATTCAATCAACATTTACTCAACCTTCAATCAACCTTCAATCAACCTTCAATCAACCTTTACTCAACCTTCAATCAACCTTTACTCAATCAACACACTTGCCGATGGGCTTGAACACTGACGGTCATTGTACATGGCACCTACATACCCATCCCGCTTTATCCAATTAGCTAATTATTTCAAAATTCATTGCAGCATGACTAAATGCGAAATGCGTAAACATGTTTGTTTACTGCGTCAAAAATAAGAAAAAAGAGCCTGCTTCTAAGTGTTCATGACCCCGAGCTAAAATAATTATTTCTGAAAGAATACAACAAGGAACACCTGCATTCCTACACAATGGCAACTTGCCAGACACTATATCTTGTGTGGCAAATTGAATATATCTTGTGTGGCATGTGACGTCACGGAGTACACCCAACACTTGGCATTGTGTTGTGGACAGAAACATGATCACACTTCAACAACGTATAAACAGGTCTGTCCATTTCAACAATGCGCTGAGGGTGACACAAACTTGGTGGTCGTCGTGAGTGAGAGAGTGAGGTTGGTGTCGGTTGAATAGTATAACATGTTAGACCTTAGAATGTTTATTGAGCTCGTGTGGCCTGACCCAAGTATATGGTATGCAATGTAAGTACAACACCAAGTGGCTAGTCTGTGGAAAGAACATTGACCATCATTTACTACAGTCCTGGAGAAGTTCAATATTGTCGAGTTCATAAGGTTTCTATTACAAATATGTTAAAGAAATGCCATTATTTTGAAAACTATCTCTATCTACCTAAAATACCGCACTTATAACCACATTTAACCAGTCGAGACTGGCCCCAGAGAACAATGTCTATGTTCACTCTGTAACTCCCCGGCAATAGCTGATGAATTCAATAATATATTTCGACGTCAAGCTTTTGATAAAAACAAAGACTGGTCTGTGGAGAAATATAAAATCTGAATCTTTACCATTTTCGGAGGAAAGCCCGAAAAGATACAGACACGTTGCCATTTTGGCTGAACAGCTAGGTATGACTCTGACTATCCTAGCAACATAGTCAGGGAGAATCTGGGATTCGAACCAAGGATCTTAGGTATCTTGGCCACCCGTGCCCCTTGGCTAGAAAATAACATGAGACACAATACCAGCTGTATATATACACGGCCGGGCAAAGGAAAGTATACATTTGAAAAGTTTACAACAGTGCGTCTTTCTTCACAAGCATGTATTAATGGCTATGCATTGTTTAGATTTAGTTGTGTTGAATTCCAAATCATTTCTTTATTTATTACCCAGACGGAAAAAGAAAGTATACACTTGAAAGTTGGATTTGACCAACAAATTACAAACGTTATTAAAGGTGAGGTGAGGTGAAATGGGGTTTAACGGCGCGTCCAAGATTATTGCACTTATATAGCGACGTGAATGTACGTGTGTGTGTTTGTGTGGCTGCTTGTACTAGTCCGGACTGATGCCAATTTATAGTGCTAACTCACTGAGATACCATGCCGCAGTTTAACATGAATACCCCACTCAGACACAGTAAACTGACTCCGAGCCGACCAGTCCTTGTTTAAGCCCCTTAATGCCGAGCGCCAGACAGGGTAACAACAAGTACCATCTTTTAACGGTATGACGCGGCCGGGGATCGAACCCCCGACCTTCCGCTCTCCGGGCGGACGCTCTACCACTAGACCACGGAGGCGGTCCCCAAACGTTATTAAAACTTCACTAGTCTGAAAACAGTCGCAGAAACAAAGTTCAGGTCCAAAACACCACAATGATACCCGTATCAGATACATTACCATGGACTAACCATTTCTTGTTTGTTTAACGTTTAGCCACCATCAAACATGATGGATATTTTCTGTTGCCCGTCAGGTTGTTATGTTATATGCGGCCTATATCGGTGCCGGCTATTAGAAGAAGCAGACTTAACGAGACAGCTGTGCCAAGATCTCGCCGAAGAGCGAGGGCAAGGGGTTCAGCGCATTGGCAAGTTAAGTTCACAATGTAACTCCTCTCTTGAAACCACTCCGAGATAATTAAACTGTATATAAAAGTAGAAATGCGGTGTTAGAATATTTGTGTTAGAAGTGGAATAGTAAAGCTGTCAATATAAATATTCCTCTGAGAGAGGGAGAGAGAGAGAGAGAGAGAGAGGAGAGAGAAACAGGAGAGAGAGAGGGGAGAGCAGGAGGGAGAGAGACAGAGAGACAGAGATACACCGAACGACAGAAAGAGAGTTGGAAAGAAAGACGCAGGAGAGAGAGAGAGAAAGAGAGAGAGAGATGAACACAGAGAAGACACACAGAGAGAGGGGAAGAAATCGTTAAGGGTATTGAAATAACTTCCTTTAAGTACCAATTATCGCTATCAATCATAAACACATACAACCTCGTCTTTAATCAAATATAATCAGTTTTTCTACACTTTATATGAACACACAAGACTTTGTTCCCTGTGTTTGCTTAAACACAGTAAGTGACGCGAAACAGTCTCCAAGACCTACACTACATTCACGCCAATATCTCTCAGTACAGGCTCTTGACTTGCAACGATTCACAGCAGAATTTCACGCAGATAAATATAGACCTACGTTAAACCTCCGAAGACTGGCAAGTACCCAGTTTCAATAGCTAGCAAACGTTTGAGTACTGTGTCTCCAGTGATATGGCTTGAGCACAAAACAAACAAGTTGCGAGAGCTGTAAAGCTAGGGGTGACACGCTCAAAGCAGACACTCGATACTTCCCCCATTTTCTTGGCGACGAAAAAATGAATTTGATTTTCACTGTGGGGTTTCTTACGTGGAACGCTTTAGCGGTGGACTGTTATTACGAATGTGTTGTTAGAAATAAGGTTATTCTTTACAAGAACGATCGTAGTTAAAGTGGAATCTGCGAGGTAAGTGTTGAGTTCGGTGGTTGTACTTGTTTGTTCGCCTGTCATCACGATGTTGTTTTCTTATAATGCCATGTTAACTTGGCTTATTAATCACATAAATAGCTTATTCTATCTTTCATTATTTTATATCATTCATGTGATTATATATCATATTTATATGTGTTCGCGAACAAAACGTACATGTGTATATGTATGTATACACCTGATTTTGAAGGTTTGAAGTATATATAAATTATATAAGAATATTTTTTGTCAACGTCCTGAAAACGAATTGTTATATGTCATATATTCATATATTCATATTCAATAAATTAAAATGCCAATAAGGGCATTACAAGCATATAATCTAATGTGTTTTATTTAGGTGTATATAGAATATATACAGCTGTGAATAATGATTTAATCATATCTTAGGTTATTTACCACCAACAACCTTCTCTCACGCTAGAAGACACCCAATTGCGAAAGCACAGACGGAGGTCGACTAATAGACATATGAGGTTGCGTTTTTGTAATAACAGCAGCTTTATACTATCCTTGATGAAAGGACATTTGTATGGCTATCAAAATCACATTATAAAAGCCTTCCCTGACAACACGAAGAGTTAAGACAGAATCATAAACACGTATTGCTTTGATACTCCCCACCGACAGGCCACCTGTCACCTCCTGCCGGGGGGATATGTAATACCTGGTTTGGCCCGAGCAGGTGTGATAAAACTGGATTTATCTTGCAAATCAGATCAAGAGTTTTACCAGCCGGGAAACGTTATTGCCATAGAAGTATTAATATAATGACATTAAATTGTTTTTAAAATGTATTTTCGGAAGATAGTGTTTACTGTATAACACGTTAATAGTATCTATCGATCTTCTAAACTGACGGCCAAATGAAACTTTACCACATTAAAAATGAAATTGCAAAAATTTAAAAATACCAGTTCAAACTAAATTTAAGCAAAACACGCCGTCCAAACACAGCAATGCTCTAAGCAGAAAGTGATACGTCCACGGCACGTTTTTTGGTTGTTGTTTTTTGGTGGAAAAGTAATAAAAATGTGCCGCTTGGGCAGTCGAAAATACGCGTGCAATAAGGATACATAAATTCTATGGACCGTATGTCAGATACTCTCACTTTTAAAGATAAAAAACACCACGGAAATACCACGACTGACACAACGCGAGCGGACCCTTGGTATGATACAGATGGAAGCCACCCATGTCCACATTGCTAGAACTTTTGGTTGCTCCCGTGTTGGTGTAACTAACCTGATGCAACGTTACAGACAGACCGGGCAGACAGCAGACAGCCCACGAACAAGGAGACCCATGGTAACTACGCCCAATGAAGACCGGTACTTGCGTAATCAATTCCTGACAGCCATTAGCGACGAATGCATTAGGGCATATGGTTAGTCGACAGACAGTGGCCAGGACAGTTATTGACCGCGCAACATCGTCGTCGGAGATTGAGATGGGCCCCTACTGTCGCCTTCACAAGGGTCACCTTCACTGATGCAAGCCGGTTCTGTCTGTTCATAGCTGATGGAAGACAGCGTGTTTAGTGTCGAAGGGGGGAACGAACGGAGGCATGTTGCGTTCAGGAGGTCGTGCCGTATGGTGGAGGGGATGTTATGGTGTTGGGGGGAATTTGTGGGCAGGAGAGAACATCACTGGCCATCGTTAACGGACATTTGACGGTTCAGGATGGATGACATTCTTCGTCCGATTGTTATACCATTTCTACAACAGCTGCCACGTGGTGTCCTTTTATCAGCATGACAACGCGAGACCCCATACAGCCCGAATCGTACAGAACTTCCTTGCAGTCAACAACGTCAACGTATTGCCGTTGCCTGCAAGCCCCAGAAAATGTCCCCCATAGATCACGTCGGGGATGTCATGTAACGTCGTGTTCGACAGCGACCACATCCTCCACCAAACCGACAAGAACTGAACTAGGCCTTCCAAGAAAGACGGTGACGTATCCCACGTGATGTCATCATACGACTGACTTTTCTGGGCGCCGGAGACTTTTTGCGTGTCCTGTAACAGAAGGTGGTCATACACGCTATTAATGTTACGTGTCATTGAAGTTGAGCGATTTTAGATAAGTGTGCCCCTTGTCCATTACGTTGACAGCAAGTTTTGCTACCCCTACTCAATTCTTGCCAATATCGGATGCTGTATGACTGTGATTTTAAATGTTGATTTCGTTGAGACTTTGATCTTATCAATACATTTTACATCATGCATCTATCTTTTGTTGTTAAACTGTGTGCCTTGGCTGACTGCGTGTCTTCATACCCCATGGGTGGAACGTTGCGGACTACTTTTATTACTATGGAATGTCGGGGAATCCAATATAACAGTCGAGGGAATTCCTTTCCCGGTTACCTGTATCGTCATGCACAGGACTTTTTAGCGACATCCATGCATATTCATGTCCAAACCACTGTTTGAGCCCGAAGACCGAGAAGGAAACAAACAGGAGGCCCGCTCGCCTGTTGTTGTTTTTTAGGGCTCGCCGGGTTCCACAAATTTCAAATCTTTGAGTTTATTTTCTAATCCGCATTTCTTCAATTGTGTCTTCCCTTTCTCAGGAAACTAATATTTGAATCTGGCGGTCACTGACCATGTCATCTGAAACAGCCGCCTTGTCCCTGACATAGTTCTTCCGGTTTGTTACAGTCTGACCTCTTGCCTTGATTGACAGGTCCTATGAACCTTGTTTCCTTCTCTCCGTTGTTTGACTATTGATTTGTGGGCGTGTCGAGTTATGTGCATAAATTAAAAAATCACCTGATTCATGTCACGCAACGGTATGTATTCCTACGCCTGTTCCAAGCGAATTCCGTTTGTCAATCTCGTCATATTTGTCTGCTTTGAATTTTAGAACTATTTTTTGTTAAACTATTGTAGATAATACGTTTACGTTGTCGAATTTAATTTTAAGGATTGACTGTGTATTTTTTTCTGTTCATTGTGGTATGAATCGAAAAACCGATGTGCCGACTTTTATACACAGTCAATCCTTAATTAAATGAAACGGATCACACCTTGTCATAACATTTAAAAACAAACTTACATTCAAAGATTGACATATGACATGACGAAAAATATGTATTTGGTAAAATGTACATAAACAACAGAAGAAATTTGATTCTTCTAAAGTAGAAAATGATATTTAAACTCTACTTCTTGGTGTTTACACACAGCCGAAAATGAAGTATTGTATTTAATGTAACATATATTGTGTAATTACCATTTCAGGTTATGTACATATTAATTTACCGTATATGCTATCCCGTTATGGTACTCTTTGTACATGTAATAAAATAATATAGGAATATATATGTATCATAGAAGTTAAGGAATATTACATCCCCATCTCATACAGATCCTGATGGGGGGTAAATAGAATCGACAAATGAAATCGGCAAAGTGAAATAGAACGTGCTGTCTATTATTATTCTTTGACTTTTTTACCGATATGTCGTTGACAGATAACAACATATACTGAAACATTGGGCGTGCAAATATCTAAAGATCAATTTAGATATATACGTACATGTTGATACAGTATACTGCAGTCGTGATAGACTTGGAATATTGCGGAAAAGTTGCAATGCCGATAATCCTGTTTGTGTTTTCCAGTTGTTTACTTCATCAATGCAATGCGCACCTTCAGTCGGCATCACCGAATGATTGACAGGTGAACATCACGAGATACCATCACTATGACCTCATCGTGCACCAACCTCCCCCCTGCCGCCCTCAACGGCCGTATGGTGAGGAATGGCAACATCGTAGACTACTTCTGTGCTGCGGGCTTCTCCATGACGTCAGGTGACCCCCGGGCCACGTGTGTAAGCACTAACACCTGGTACCCAGACACGCCCCCTGTGTGTACCGTTATTAAGAATACGCCTGATGACGGTAGGTCGTGTGTTTAGTGTAGTTTCAAACTGCTTAATACAACACATACCGTGACTAACAGAGTGCATCCTTCCGAGGAGTGAGTGAGTGAGTGAGTTGGGTTTAACGCCGCTTTTAACAGTATTCCAGTTATATCGCGGCGTGTCAGCTTAATGTGGGAGGAAAGCCCGCAGTGATGCAGGTCTCAGACGTTTACCACTTCGGTGAAACCCACGAGCACTGGTATGGTGCTGACAAACCTAGAAACATAATCGGGGCGAACCGGGATTCGAACCCACAATCATAGGTTTCTGGCGTGACCAAGGGACGCAACTCTGCACAGCGAATCGCGGCGCCTTAGACGACTGGGCCACCCGTGCCCCCTCCTTCCGAGGAAAGGAAGTTAACTGACCATAAAAGTCCAGTTTCCACCCTTGCCGATCTAGGCTGGAATTATGGAGTTATATTTCGGCTGGACTAACAGTCCAATCAAAATCGCGTAAAGAAATCGACATCCGGTTCGTAAACTGCTCCGTCGACTGCAGGATTTGCAAAGCATGCGTACCGCCACCTCGGCGTCAACAGATATTTTCCAAATCTTTTCATGTTTTTAATGAAGGTGCTCACGTGGTTTGATGCACTTTGCGAAGTAAGACCCGTTTTATTACAATATAGATCTTGATTATCGATCACATCGTCTTGACCCTCACCGCCATTTTGTTTGAACCAAATGCAAGTGATATGAGAGGTGGAATCTGATTGGTCAATAGGAGGGACATAGCTCGTAACAGCCACTGGTGGCGCTACGATCGAGCCCAAAAATCAAGCCTAGTTAGGCAATGGTGGACCTGGACTTTTACAGTCAGTAAACTCCCTTGCCTCGGGAAGATGAACAGATGTGTTTTTAACGCTCTATTGCCTGTTGTTGTCAAAGTTAATATGCTGCGTATCACAACATGTCATGCATCTATACCGCTCATCACTTGTTTGTCGATAACAGTGTAAGAATCTACATTGAAACATCGCTATATGCAATAAACCAGAAGTTGTTATCCATAAAGTTGTACTTTTTTCTTATTTACTCATCAACTTCTAGAATGCCAATCAAACAGTCAGTGTTCTTTAGACGTCAACTAGTTTTGCCGAAGTTGGACACGTTATATATCACCACAACTGCTCCAACTGTACAGTGTAAGGGCTCTGTAAATGTACGCATTACCTATCGACAACAACATCGTTGTTTTTGTCACTGTCATCATAGCCGTCGTCATGATGTTCACCGTCATCTTTATATTGTACTCTACCGACAGGATAAAGAAAGTATACACTTGAAGTGAGTGAGTGAGTACGGTTTTACGCCGCTTTTAGCAGTATTCCAGCAATATCGCGACGGGGGACACCAGAAATGGGCTTCACACATTGTACACATGTGGGGAATCGAACCCGGGTGTTCCGCGTAATGAGCGAACGCTTTAACCACTAGGCTACCCGACCGCCCATACACTTGAAAATTGAATATGACAAACAATTATAAACGTTATAAAATCGTTACACGGCTGAAAACAGTCGGCGTGACACTGCAAACTCTTAAGGTCCAAAACACAACTATGATACCCATTTCAAATACATCACCATGAATAATCATTTTTGTTTGTTTCAGCTTTAGACACCATCAAACATGGGTGTATACGTTTTTTGACCCGGGAGTCTAATTGTCATCAGCTGACGGGATCAGGTGGTCAGGCTCACTGACTTGGTTGATGTATGTCATCGTATCCCAATTGCGTGGATCGATGCTCTTGATATCAATCACTGGATTCCCTGGTTCAGACTCGATTATTTACAGACCGCCGTCATATAGCTGGAATATTGATGAGTGCGGCGTGAAACAACAAAAAACAAAAAAACAATTGTCATCAGCTTTGCTGCATCTCTGTTATCTTCATCGCTCTCTCCATCATCACCACCATCTTCTTCGTTACTGGTATTCTAAGGGTACGGGTGGCCCGTGGTCTAAGGCGGCACAGTTCGGTGTTGTGTCATGTAGGCTTGCAAGAATCCTATGATCACTGGTTCGAATCCCTGATTCGGTTTGATCATGTTTCTAGGTTTATCAGCACCATTCGTTCCTCGCGGGTGTCACCAAAGTGGTAAACTCTGAGACCTGCATCACTTCGGGCTTTCCTCCCACATTAAACTGACACGCCGTGATCATAACTGGAATTCTGTATCGTTCACCTCAACTCACTCTGTCACACATTGCTTGACATCCTCGTACCTCGTACATGCTTGGTCGAGTGGCACTTATTTGTTGCGAGTTTACTCCCTTTGTTTGAGGATCCGCTCATCGTAGGTTTGAACCCTAAATTCACCCAAGCTATGTTTGGTTAGGGGCAGTGTGTTATAGAACGTTGATTTTGGATAAGTGAGAGCTCTGATCACAAGTCTGAGCTCTCAGTATATGCTTCATCCCATAAGCATCTCTGTACCTGAGTGGACACAGTACGGATGGCCACGGAATCTAGGCGTCGCAGCTCCCATTGTAGAGTTGCGTCCCTTCGATCCGTCGGGATCCGCCGAACATGGTGTCGAATCCCGTATAGGCTCCGATTGGTCCTCATGACATCAACACCCTGTCCTTTGGTGTGCCCAGATTGTAAATACTTAAGATCAATAACCATTTAGGTCTTTCTTCCCAAATTTAATCATCAAGCTATCATTAAATAGAAATACGGTTTGTGCAGAAAAAAAACTGCGTTATATTCTGTCGCTACTCTTCTACGCGTAAAATACGTCACAGGAATTACTTAGTCTCCTTATAATTAAAGTTTATGTTAAATGTATGAATGTAAATACTATACCATGCTGATCGTAACTGTTGATGATGTTGCAGTTGTGCCGCTGTGGGTGCCTATCACGTGCGCCATCCTCCTCTCCCTCATCGCGGCGACCTGCCTCGCCCTCGCCTGCTACTACTGCTGCTGTCGGTACGCTCAATACACAGACACATGGCACTTGCACCAACAGAAATAAACAGGGAGCCCAGGGAAAGTCTAGCTTTATCTGACCCTCTCAAATAAATAAGTGAAATCAGTTAATTGGTTTGAAGGATTAGACATAGCTGGACTAACGAAAGGCCCGTACAAGGAATTCTTTCAAAGCGTGTCATGTATAATTTTAAGATAATTGGATTGAACTGTATATTGGGTTAAATGTAAACTAACAATAGAATGTCATTTGTATTCTAATATATTTCAAACAATTGCGTTTTAAAATGAAACAATATATTATTACCTTTACGTAGGGAAACGGCAAAAGAACATTTGAAATGTACGCTATTATATCTTTTACGGGCGCTTCCGGTATCGCCAACACAACGGAGGTTTCAGTCAATTCAAATATTTGTGACAAACAATTACATCATCAACACCTCGGCATATTAAGCGTGGACTTTTATATGATTACTCAGATCTTTAAATTTTTTAAAATATTTTACGTATAATGTAAAGATACAGTAAAGACTATACATATTTAATACACAAATAAATATAAATACCAATGTTTGCAAAACGAATGTTTTTCCCAAAAGTTAATAACAAAGTTGGAATTAGAAAATAAATTGTTTGTAAAAGAATACAAAAATGCTAAATATTTGTAATGGCATTTTTTTTAGCGGACGCTGTTGTGCTAACTATAACAGAATCAGAGCGTCCACGGCAGACATCCATGACGAAGGTTACCATGACAATAAGGGTTACTATGGCAGCCAGCAACACAGAGGAGATAGTTACTATTATGATGATAGATATACTTACACGAAAACTGATCCTGGGCGAAAATATGACGGGCCGTATATTATTCCTGTCAGTAACAGACAGCGCCAGGTACGTGTTGTGTGAAGCTTGGTCGACTGATTTTGCAAATTAATGATTATAAAAATAAAATTGTGTTCTTTGTGGGGATTTGAGGGCAGAAATTACGAAAGCCTAATGACTTTGGTAGCATTAATGTTTTTATTCAATCAAAGTTCCTCGTTATTTCAATTACTTTTTCGAAATATCGAATATTTTCCCGTTATTTCAAGTTTAACTCGAAATTATCATTTCGAAGCAACGAGAAAATAATTATAGTAACGAATAAATAATTGAAGTAACAAGAAAATAATAGAAGTAACGAGAGAAAAACGAAATTTCGAGTTTGGAAAATAAATTTGAAATAGTGAGTAAGTGAGTTAAGATTTATAGTCACATCGGCAATATTTCAGCCATATCGTAAAACTTGAAATAACGAGAAAACAATCGAAGTTACGAGTAAATTAATCTAAGTAACGAGAGAGAAATTGAAATTAAAAAATTATGATCGAAATAACGAGAAAATAACTTGAAATTTCGAGAAAATAAACAAATGATTGCAATAACGAGAAATTTATATTTAGAAATAAATTCTCATACTACCAAAGTGGCACTTCGTTAGAACTGAGTCCAAAGATTAAAAGCAAGCTGATTAAAAACAAGTGAAATGAAATTTGGTGCTTTGTGTGGTCTGGTTAAATGTTTGAGATCGCAATCCAACCGCGTGGATGGTGGATCACGAACTGGTTTGCACAGGATGGCGTGATATAAATAGTTGGGATGTTGTTGACAGTGGTGTAAGTAACATACACTTTATCTGATTTTCTTTCACAGTATCCCCCGAACAGATCATACGTAGAGTACATAACAAAGGAACCCCAAAAGCCGAAACCAAAACAGTACGGTCACGTCCCTGCTAAGGTATGTATGCGTTAGATGAGAGTTCATGTTCACCTCGGACTCTGAAGATAATCACAGCGAAAGCTCAATCCCTAAAAAAACTACTTTTAATTTAATCAAATATTTAAGCGTTCAAAATTCTCGGTATGAGGAAGCACAGAATTCGTAGCTGCGTTTCCGTATCTCGAAAACGAACGTGAACAGGCAGTCCCGGATGAAGAATAATAAAGGTCGTGCAATGTTACATATTTAACACGCTATGGTTCTGAATGCCAAGGCATCAACACTCAAAAAGATACACTGTGATGAGAAAATGTGTGTTTTGTATGGTTTTCTTTTGTTCAGAGCGATATTCCGATTTAGGGACGGGTGGTGCAGAAACGAAGCTGAATGGTTTGGGAAAACTGATGTCTGATGGGCTTTAAAACACGCTCTTCTTTAATTTTAATTGGATTGTCACGTTCACGCACAGTTCGCCTGACGTGACCTTCCATGCAGGGTTTGTCAGACTGACGGCATGAGGCATCGACGTTTTATGTTAACGAGATTGGATGGACGCGAATACGATCAGTATCAGCTGTTGGGAACATTTCTGAGCTGCCGTTATCCGTAAAGATAGGCTCGATTGATATTGAAGGACTTTCCCCGCAGGTGCGAACCACGCCCACATCCACTACCCCACGTGTTGATGTTGTCCACGTGGTCCAGCTAGCAAATGGTCAACTCGTCCCAATGGACAAGGTACAGTCACGGACAGATATAGCGTCTTCGGACAATGTTGTTGTTGTTTTACAATCATCAGTCTGTTTGTGACTTCAGACGTCAATGTGTCATATATATATTTGTCAACGTGTCTGTGTTCTTGAGTATGTGTCAACGTGTATATGTTCATCTGATTGTGTCAACACGTTGACACATGCAGGTGAACATATACACGTTGACACATGCAGGTGAACATATAAACGTTAACACATACATGTGAACATATACACGTTGACACATACAGGTGAACATATACACGTTGACATATACATGTGAACATATACACGTTGACATATGCAGGTGAACATATACACGTTGACACATGCAGGTGAACATATACACGTTGACACATGCAGGTGAACATATACACGTTGACACATACAGGTGAACATATACACGTTGACACATACAGGTGAACATATACACGTTGACACATGCAGGTGAACATAAACACGTCGACACATACAGGTGATCATATACACGTTGACATATACAGATGAACATATACACGTTGACACATACAGGTGAACATAAACACGTTGACACATACAGGTGAACATATACACGTTGACATATACAGGTGAACATATACACGTTGACACATACAGGTGAACATATACACGTTGACACATACACGTTGACATATACATGTGAACATATACACGTTGACATATACAGGTGAACATATACACGTTTACACATACAGGTGAACATATACACGTTGACATATACAGGTGAACATATACACGTTGACACATGCAGGTGAACATATACACGTTGACACATACATGTGAACATATACACGTTGACACATACAGGTGAACATATACACGTTGACACATACAGGTGAACATATACACGTTGACATATACAGGTGAACATATACACGTTGACACATACAGGTGAACATATACACGTTGACACATACAGGTGAACATATACACGTTGGCATATACATGTGAACATATACACGGTGACATATACAGGTGAACATAGACACGTTTACACATACAGGTGAACATATACACGTTGACATATACAGGTGAACATATACACGTTGACACATGCTGGTAAACATATACACGTTGACACATGCAGGTCAACATATACACGTTGGCACATGCGATGAACATATACACGTTGACATATACATGTGAACATATACACGTTGACATATACATGTGAACATATACACGTTGACATATACAGGTTAACATATACACGTTGACACATGCAGGTGAACATATACACATATACCTCAGTGAGGCAGTGACACTCTCTCCCGTGTATTCCAGTATCTGAGGGAGCACCCGGGGGCTCGCCTGGAGACCCAGGGGGACCGTGACGTGGTGTATGCCCCGGCAACCAAGACTGACAGTAAACCCAGGCAAGCATGGAAGGCTAATGTAAGTAGTATATTTACAATTAAACCCTATTGATCCGGAAACCCTGCATTCCGGGCGATTACAATTCGAATCTCACATATATTTAAAGATCCGTTTGTACATAGTTAATTGATAACCATGACAGGCAATCCTTAATTCTTTAGGATGAATCGTGTTTAGGCACAAAACATCTACATCATTTAGGAAAGGTTTGCTCTTTTTCTTTCCTGTCTCTTCAGAACAAGAGGACTCCCCCGCCTCCCGTTGTAACTTCACGTGACTACAACTCCAAAGACCCTGTCGTTGTCACGGTGATGAACGACCTGAACTACAACCACCCTCAACACGAGGACAAGAAACAGAAAGGGGTACGAAGATGCTATGATCGCCTGGATCAGAAGCCTGTCTAAGAGTATTTAAAGCGGGAAGGAGTCTATTCCGCCTATGAGTGGTGTATCATAGCCTAGTGCTGTTGTAGCGCTAGAAAAGAGCACTGACCCCTGGACTAAACTACCTGCTCCTCATACTGGTATATGTCATAGCTGCATATGCTATACCAAAACAGGGGCGGTCGGGTAGCCTAGTGGTTAAAGCGTTCGCTCGTCACGCCGAACATCCGGGTTCGAATCCCGACATGGGTACAATGTGTGAAGCCCATTTCTGGTGTCCCCCGTCGTGATATTGCTGGAATATTGCTAAAAGCGGCGTGAAACCAAACTCACTCACTCACTTACTAAGCCAAAACAACGAGGGTGCAAGCATCATCCAGTGGTAATAGGCGTCACTCGTTGTGCAGAGTTGTCTCCCGTAACAGCCAGGATCCGCTGATACCTGATATCCTGATACCCGTGGCTGGGGTTTCCCCAGAGTGGAAAAGCTATACCATCTACGTCACTTTGGTGTGTTTGTATGTTGTTAAACGCCACACTCAGCAATATCCCAGGTATATGATAGCGGTCTGTAAATAATTATGTCTGGGCCAGATAATTCAGTGATTGACATAATGAGCATCGATATGCACATTTTGGATACCATGACATGCATCAACTACGTCAGCGAGCCTGACCACCCGATCCTGTTAGTCGCCTCCGACGACAAGTATATGTAGTTGAAGACAAATTCTTACACGGATCTTTATGGGACTCGTCACTGCGGACTTTCGTCGTAGGGGCGGCCGGGTAGCCTAGTGGTTAAAGCGTTCGCTCGTCACGCCGAAGACCCGGGTTCGATTCCCGACATGGGTACAATGTGTGAAGCCCATTTCTGGTGTCCCCCGCCGTGATATTGCTGGAATATTGCTAAAAGCGGCGTAAAACCATACTCACTCACTCGGACTTTCGTCTCACATCAAGCTGATACGCCCTAATATACCTGACACCCGTGAAGATCCGGGTTAGAATAGAAGCCGATGGTGCTGTTGAAGGCTACTATGCTGTCGTAAGAGGCGACTAACCGTATCGGGTGGTCAGGCTCACTGACTTGGTTGATGCATGGCATCATATCCCAATTGCATAGATCGATGCTCATGATGTCAATCACTGGATTGTCAGACCGCCTCCATGGTCTAGTGGTAGAGCGTCCGCCCGGAGAGGGAAGTTCCGGGGTTCGATCCCCGACATACCAAAAGACGTTAAAAGATGGTACTTGTTGTTACCCTGTCTGGCGCTCGGCATTAAGGGGCTAAAACAAGGACTGGTCGACTCGGAGTCAGTATACTGTGTCTGAGTGGGGTATTCATGTTAAACTGCGGGATGGTATCTCAGTGAGCTAGCACTATAAATCGGCATCAGTCCGGACTAGTACAAGCAGCCACACAAACACACACACGTACATGCACGTCGCAATATAAGTGCAATAATTTTGGACGCGACGTTAAACCCCATTTCACCTCACTGGATTGTCTGGTCCAGGCTCGATTATTTACAGACCGACGCGATATTGCTGAGTGCGGCGTTAAACAATAAAAAGCAAAACAAACAAATGATCTAAATTACCTGAAATGTGGTGTTCAAAACATATCACTTAAACACTTATCTGAGTCGTAACATGTGACCCATTTTAACATAAACACAAAAACATGTGAACTAGATTTATCGAATGTCACATTCAGGCCAGCAAGAAGATCTTTCATCAACCACAACAGCCGACCCGGGTGGGCGTGGTCAACACAAAGACGGGCGTGGCTGGGCGAACACGGGAAGACGGGGTGAAACCAGAGAGAGACAAGGTATGGCATCATCAGTGATGCATTCTATGTTTGGGGTAATGGAGGTGTCTGTTTGCGTTGTACATTTGACCTTACAAAGGTGTTGATGTAATTCTGATCGTTCTGGTTCTTGAATTATCTCCCCTTTTGATCCTCCCCGACAGGAGACTTCACAAAATATACTATAAATAGATGTGCACGTCATCATAAACATACAAGTTTGTCTCTAGTTTGTTTGTTTGTCTCCAGAGTGAACCGCGGACAATCTTTGAATTATTACGGATTTTTGTCACAAACGTGGGGTTAGTGAAAAATGAGACAAAAATGCAGTGATATATTGTTTTGAGGTGAGTGAGTGGGGTTTAATGCCGCTTTTAACAGTATTCCAGTTATATCACGGCGAATGGGCTTCACACATTGTACCCATGTCGGGAATCGAACCTGGGTCTTCAGCGTGACGAGCAAACGCTTTAACCACTAGGCTACCCGACCGCCCAAGAATTTGATGTGAGAAATTAAAATTGTGAAATTTTGAAATTCATTTCTCCGAGTAAATATCCTAAATTTACATTTCAAAACGTGCTGTAAAGAATGCCTTGAATGGTAATTTATTAATATGTAAAAAATGGCGACATGTACAATGTACCGAATTTTCAGAGGACATTTTAAGCAATTTTGCTTTGACTAAAATGACAGTGGATGATATCACCGAACAGGGAATTTCCCACAGACTTCAAAATTTGTATTTGTGTGTGTGATGTATGTTTGAATTTTATTCGACTTAGGGTGAAAGAGGAATGACACATCTGTCCCTCTGGCATCCAGCGGGTTAACGCCGCTTTGAACAGTATTTCAGCTCTGCCCCATGTGTCATCCTGACGTGGGAAGAGTGAGTGAGTGAGTGAGTTGGGTTTAACGCCGCTTTTAACAGTATTCCAGTTATATCACGGCGTGTCAGCTTAATGTGGGAGGAAAGCCCGAAGTGATGCAGGTCTCAGACGTTTACCACTTCGGTGAAACCCACGAGCACGGATATGGTGCTGACAAACCTAGAAACATAATCGGGGCGAACCGGGATTCGAACCCACAATCATAGGTTTCTGGCGTGCCGAAGGGACGCAACTCTGCACAGCGAATCGCGGCGCCTGGGACATCCATGCCCACGAGGTGACATCGTAAAAGTATGATCGGTCGGATGAAATAAAGCATGAAATGAAATAAAGGCGACAAACCATTTCAGCAATCACAGGAGGTCTTTATTAAGAGCAGACTCTACTGTACGATTGCGACTATATTATAAGTATGTGTTTATGAATCACTATGAACTAGTGATGATACCAAGTGTTCGTACCAGAAACGTACGGCTTAGAACGCGTTTCTTTGAGACGAGAGTGACTTCCCTACCTATATCGAACCCTTTTGAGAACCTTTATTCTTACTGAAACATACAGACATGCCTGAAAGTAAAAACACGGTGCATGGGTGAGGAATGGGTGGTTCGTTATGGATATAAGACGCCAAGCCTGTTTTAAACACAAAAGACTGTATTTCTGTTCGTCGTGCACGTGGTAGGTGGCTGCCATTTTGTTACATATTGAAATTAGCGAATGGTGAAGGAAACGAAATAGAGTATAACAAAGGTTAAACTAAGCAACGAAACGAAATTAAGGCTTTGGGGCTCAAAAAGGCTTTCTGACAAGAAAGAAAATACTGATGAACGTTAACAAATAATTTTAAACAACATTCAACAAGTGTGATCGGCGGCTTGGTGAACCAAGTAATGCCTCTTACAGAAAGGCATAGGTGTGTAAAGTGTAGAAATAATATCTTAAATTTGAGATACAAATTCAAGTTCTTATATAATTATGCTCAACTTGCAGAAGGATAAAACTTCTAAAGATCTGGAAGAAAACAAATCGAAAGTCAGCAACGACGATCCTCCCGACAGAGACACCAAGGACGGCAGCAACTCCAAGAAAGACGACGACGACGATAGTATCATTAATGTAGGCAAATGACAGAATATTCCAAATAATCAGCTTCAATGTGTATACATCTCCAGTGGGCAATTAAGCGTGTCAACAAACCTATATCAGAGTCCAGTTGCCATTTCAAATCTACCTGTCTGTGCTAATATATGATTGGACAATCGCACATGTCGAGCGTCCAACCAGAGAACGTTTTACAAAATCAACATCCGGGTTCCGAAACGTGGTTGCTGCTATGACCACAGCCTTCCCCTGCCGAATGTGCTATAAAATTATTCCAAAAAATAAGTGGAGATAGTTATTCTCGAAGTTTTCAATCGAAGTGACCGACATTCAGTGCTATTTGTAGGCGAGCCAGGCAGAGCGTTTCACGTCACTGCGATGAACAGTTTAACTTGATACTGTGTCGTATGTATGCCTCTATTATTGTAAGAGCGAAACGCGGGAGTAATAAGTTTCTCTTTACTGTGGTAATCTGTCATTTTGTTTGTAAGTCGGGGTTGAAATCTCAACTCATTTTGGTATCCGATCGACCAGGCCGTCATTATGTGAAGCCAACAGTGAGTGAGTGGGTTGGGTTTAACGCCTCTTTTAACAGTATTCCAGTTATATCGCGGCGTTCCAGCTTAATGTGGGAGGAAAGCCCGAAGTGATGCAGGTCTCAGACGTTTACCACTTCGGTGAAACCCACGAGCACGGGTATGGTGCTGACAAACCTAGAAACAATCGGGGCGAACCTGGATTCGTTCCCCCAATCATAGGTTTCTGGCGTGCCCAAGGGACGCAACTCTGCACAGCGAATCGCCACCGACTGGGCCACCCATGCCCCCGTGAAGCCAGGAACAGCGATTTGATTGAATGTCGTGTTTTCACCACAAAGGACACAACTCGTGTTCTACATGGGGTGGCGCCATGATCAAGAAAAGTAGGCTTGAACTGGCAAAGGTGAAAGTAGGCTTTGATAGAGGCTAATGGACACTCTTGCCTCGAGAAGATAATGCATTTCTTTATAAACCCGCTTATATAATCACAATGTATGCAATATAGACGTTTATGTCTGTGTGTGCAATGTCAACATATAAAATAACTTAATCGAACTGTTTGCTGAGGCAAGGTTTCCCTTGGACATGTTTTTTTTCTTATATTTAATGAGTTCATACATAACGGACCCGTGAAGATCCGGGGTAGAATAGGTCTTCAGCAACCCATACTTGCCGTAAATGGCGACTATGCTTGTCGTAAGAAGCGACTAACGGGATCGGGTGGTCAGGCTCGCTGACTTGGTTGATGCATGTCATCGTATCCCAATTGCCTAGATGGATGCTCATGATGGTCCAGACTCAATTATTAACAGACCGCCGTCATATAGCTGGAATATTGCTGAGTGCGGCGTTAAACAACAAGTAAACAAACAAACATGCATAACGTTTAGTTAAGCTATAGTTAGTTGCGAGTAGGCTTTTGACACGTGGATTTTCCTCCTAGAATGAATCAGAACCTGGAGAGCCAATCAGAGCGCAGTACCTCAGATCCGGTAGCAACCTGGTATGTTCCACCTATAATACCGTAACCATGGCAATAAAATTATCTCTAAATATCTTAACTTGATAAGAATATCGTTCGTTATCATAGACTACTCACGACATCCATCTTCGTTGTATATATGCTGCAATCAAATGATTTGATAGGCATTACTTAGAAGTTGACGGATGACAAGGAAGACACAATTTTATGGATAACATCTTCTTTAATACTGTGAAAAGCGACGTTTCGTTATAGATCTTTATAATACTGTGAAAAGCGACGTTTCGTTATAGATCTTTATAATACTGTGAAAAGCGACGTATCGGTATAGATCTTTATAATACTGTGAAAAGCGACGTTTCGTTATAGATCTTTATAATACTGTGAAAAGCGACGTATCGGTATAGATCTTTATAATACTGTGAAAAGCGACGTATCGGTATAGATCTTTATAATACTGTGAAAAGCGACGTATCGGTATAGATCTTTATAATACTGTGAAAAGCGACGTTTCGTTATAGATCTTTATAATACTGTGAAAAGCGACGTTTCGTTATAGATCCTTATACCGTTGATAACAACTTCTTTAATACTGTGAAAAGCGACGTATCGGTATAGATCTTTATAATACTGTGAAAAGCGACGTATCGGTATAGATCTTTATAATACTGTGAAAAGCGACGTATCGGTATAGATCTTTATAATACTGTGAAAAGCGACGTATCGGTATAGATCTTTATAATACTGTGAAAAGCGACGTTTCGTTATAGATCTTTATAATACTGTGAAAAGCGACGTTTCGTTATAGATCCTTATACCGTTGATAACAACTTCTTTAATACTGTGAAAAGCGACGTTTCAGTATAGATCCTTATAATACTGTGAAAAGCGACGTTTCGGTATAGATCCTTATACCGTTGACAACGGAATAGGGATCTATAACGAAACGTCGCTTTTCACAGTATTAAAGAAGTTGTTATCCATAAAATTGTGTCTTCCTTGTTATGCTGTAATCGACGTGTATGTTTGTTGTAATCGATAGCAGGGTTGACACTGACTTGCCTCCCCTTGCTTCCAGGACTTTGACCTTGACCTGGAAACTACCAACACTCCACCCAATGCTACCAAGCCCGAGTTCAAGAGACACGCCTTCGCCGTGATGGATTACAACAGGGCAAGACGGGCCAAGGAGTTCCCTGCGTGGAGACCCCACATCAACCCGGTCCGGAACATCAACACCAGCACCCAGTGATGAAGATGCTGCGGGCACATCCGGCGGAACATCGGGGAAAGGAACATCGTGATAACTAAAAGCTAACATCAATATGTGAAAACTCATCTTGTACATCCCATGATAGTTGTGCGGCACATCTTGCCCTTGAATCCGCGGACTGCATGACACCCTACATACATTTATAAAAGTGCCGTTAGTCATCATGTGCGCAGGTAAGAATTGGAAAGAACCTACGAATCTCTACGGATTTAATATTTGAACCAGATAAAGACCATCTTGCGTAAATGACATCATTAGAAATATTTGCCAGACGTATTAGGGGACCAATGGTGATTTTCGGTGGGGTAGAGGATTGGTTGGTTTGATATCACATTTTTAAATGTTTAGGACTCAATTATTTTGCCCAACATAAACAGGCGCTCAATTATTTTTTAATAGATATAAATAACGAACTATGTTCTTTGGACGCTTGTTTATACATTTACTTTCTGTCCAGTGTGAGGTGTTCATGAACAAATTCAGTTGATAATTGTTTGTAGCATTACATCAGGTTGGGAGGATCATTTGGAGATATTTGTTTCAGTATTTATTTCAGTGAGTGAATGAGTGAGTGAGTTGGATTCGTTGTTTCAACGAACAATGTTTCTCTTGGGAAACGGACCTAAAGGGTAGGGAAAAGATATTTGAAAGCAGCTGTAAAGTAACAGACTTATGTGTTTGTCCTATGACCAAAACTAACCTGAGGAGCAAGAGAAACAATACCTCTCAGTGGATTTTGTTATATGTTTGAGTTTCAATTGAAAATATCTCAAGTTAGCTATAATATCAAAAATATTAGCTGTACAGGCGCATAGTCAGCAACGAAAGAATACGTCCACATGATTATATTTTTAAAAATATAATTTGCTTTAAAACGTTTACAAGTTAAAAAAAACATTCGTACAATCCACAAATGCTGATGGATATATTAGACATCTTATCTTTGAATATCAATACATATGCTTTTTCGCCACAAGTTTACATTTCCAACATCGTAGGAGACACAAGGTTGCAAATTAATTTCTTCATTCAACCAATTTGTTTTAACAAAATTACCCAGCTACAGATTACTTTTTCCAAACAATTGCAGCAATGAGTGATGTTATGTTGAAGTAGACATTAAATTTAACAACAGTTCTTTCAATTTTCAATTACATATAAAACAAAACTCGGTATACTTTCTGGTACCCCTCAGTTTAGGCACGTTTCGTGAATGTACAGCACGACATATATACGCATGTTTTAGTTTATTATCATGACACGATAAACCTGTGATGTCATCTGTTGTTTTGGAGGTTTCTTGTATTCGTAGTGGCCTCTGATGGTCCTTATTGTGCGGTTCAACGTCTTTGGTGTTGTTAACAAACATTTTAATGACTTGTACCTGAAGTAGGTCACTACAAACGTTATAATAACCATATGTCTGGCATGTGGTGCATTATAGCCATGTTGTGTGTTTATGTGTACGCGGGTTTATGTTTGAGACAAACGTCAAATGTATTCTTTGTGGTTTGGTATACTGTTACGTTTTCAAGGACAAATCTTTATATTAGAGGCATCTAACTGTAAATTGTAATTACAAACCTCTCCATATTGTTTTAGTGTTGTGTTTATAAATACCAAAAACATTCCGGCGCGAATTGTAGATGTTGCGTAGAAATCACGCCGCGAAAGCTGTCAAAGTAAACTCGCTGAAAATTCGGTCTAATGTCTGTGAACCAAAATTAATTTTGTCTATCTTTTTCTCACTTGGGATATTTGAAAAATCATTTTATATATACAAAATCAGCTTTGTGTTTTTGTCCGACGTATTGCCCAATCAATTAATGTATCATTGTTATCGACAAGCAATCTGTGATAGTCTTCAGTTGTATTTTAATAAAAAGAAATAGTGTTTGCGAATGTGTTTTGTTATCCATCGTAATTCTCTGTCTGCAAGACTTGACTTGTAAACGCTGTTCCCTCTTTCATCTGAAACAGCAATCATCGAAAATGGTATGTTTATTTACGAAACGTGCTGAGGTTGAGTCAGGTTGGAGTATTGATGAGACAACTGACCCATCACCTGTAGAAATGAATGGCCGGTGTTCAGAAATATAGGTCCGGGTGCCCATGGTACTCAGACAAGGGGGATCTTGTTTTTTCAAGATTCAATGGCCCCGTCAACCGAAGTACCAGTCATGGGGTGTTTCAATGTACTCTATCATGGTTTTCGGCTTGATCAAAGGGGTTGCCAGTCATCTGGCAAGACATTCCACTTAGAGCCGACGGCGTGAACTAGCAGTAAATGAATAATGAATAATGAATATAGAATTATGAATTATACTCACAAACCTGAAAATACATTTGTTAATAGACATTGTTATACTAAATACAACGGTATTGGTAGTTTTCCGTAGCACCATCTTTCTACGTGATGGAAATGACGTCAAGCACTTATATGGAACTAGACTCGGACTGATTTAAAATAGTAAACTTGCTTCAGCTTTCATGACCCACGTCGTTTTCTCTACATTGTTCTTTACTGTTATAACGTGTATCAATCTGGCAATTGACGATTGGCCTAGTTACAGAGTGAGTGAGTGAGTGAGTGAGTTGGGTTTAACGCCGCTTTTAACAGTATTACAGCTATATCGTGGCGTGTCAGCTTAATGTGGGAGGAAAGCCCGAAGTGATGCAGGTCTCAGACGTTTACCACTTCGGTGAAACCCACGAGCACGGGTATGGTGCTGACAAACCTAGACACATAGACGGGGTGAACCGGGATTCGAACCCACAATCATAGGTTTCTGGCGTGTCCAAGGGACGCAACTCTGCACAGCGAATCGCGGCGCCTTAGACCATCTTACAATCTAGACCATCTTTTAGCCATTCCAGATGTTCTTTTGTTCAGTTTTCAAATGTTTAATAGAAAAATTTGTCAATAAATGTTTCGAAGCGTAGTCGCAAGTTTGAAACTAGTGCGTAAAGCACGAGAAAGCTGCCTTCTGATTGGTTAATGGCGACTTCTTGTCAGCCATTCCATTGGTCGGTCAAAGTTCGCGAAAGGTCCATCTGACCTGACCCGTAATAGGATATCCTTAGATTTTAGTTTAGCAGTAGCGGTAACTATCTTCGTGTGATGGAAGAAAAACGTTTTTATCTCCGGTATTAACATACCTAAACTTAGATTTAGTCTAGTTAATCTTTTCTTACACGGTACATTCCTCTATGACATTTGTTGACTGATGCTGATTGCATGTAGCTGGCTGTACTTGTTTTTTACATAATCTAGATGTGTTTTTGTTTTGTTTCATAAAATACATATTCCACAGTCATGGTGCAGAACTATAAAATACCCTTTTCACATCGATTCATAAAAAATCAGTAGAGTGACATTTGACACTATTCCAGCGGGCCTTTTGATCTTCTTATTACCTACATCGTTCCACAAATGGCTGTAAGATATATATATATATGAACAGAATAACACTTTTGCTTAATCTAAATGTAACACAAATCATATAGAATTATTCACATAGTTTATGAGTTGCACAATCATGACGTGCGCGTCTTCAAAAGATGTAAAATGTTTTGAATAACAACATGTCGCATTCCTTCACTTCACGAAAAATAAATAGTTTAATTATTATGACCACATCGTCACTATTGTCCAGAATATAGGGTGTAAGGTTGATAAAGCCCCGCTCTACATGTTTATTTGTTTGTTTGTTTGTTTGTTTGTTTGTTTGTTTGTTTTTAAAGCCTCACTCAGCAATATTACAGCTGCGTTACTTCGGCCTGTAAATAATTGGTTCTTGACCAGACAATCCTGTGATTGATATTGTGAGCAACAATCCACGTCATCAGGATACGGTGACTCGCAATCAACCAAGTCACCGAGCCTAACCACCCGATCCATTTGGTCGCCTCCGTCGACCAGCACGTGTTGGTGGGAGCCTCGTCTAACCCAGAATCCCCACGGGGGACATGCCTAGATTACCACCCAAAACAGCACGTGGCATTTAAAAAATGCAAATTCGTTAATTAATTTCATTATCCCATGTGATTGTTGCTCCCAATGTGGTGATTAAAAAACACCCTTCGTCGTACTGGCGTTAGAAAAGGTAGAAGTTTACGAGTCTGGTGAGTCAATCAACTATCAATGGAACCATTTTGATAAAACCATGGGTGTCTCCTCTGCTTGTTCATAAATAATTGAACCAATAAACCAATCTACCCAACATAAACTACCCGTGCCACCCGAGACGCTTCCCTGCCTTACCAACACCGTGACGACACAAACATCACCACAAACGATCTTCTGCAGACAATAACGGTATTTTAACACACCTGAGGAAATGTGTTACGCTCCGTCGCGGGAGACACATTACCATATGTTTACATAGAGCAGGCTTAACGATATAATCATAGGTATGCTTCAGGGTGGTTTAAACGGAGCTGGGTCGTCACAAGGAGAGGATGGAGCCGAGAAAGATATCACATGTTATTGCTTTCGTTGTTACAGTATTGAACATCCAAGGTAAGACAATAAATATATTCTTACTTTGAATTGTAATTAACGTTTAGATATTTTTTTTAATAGTTCGTTTTCGAGTAACGTAATGTATTATGTTTACCGGAAAACGATGAATGCATGGATTTTGCAAATAGAAATAACTTTATTGCCGTAAGTATATAGTTGATAACACTAAGTATATATAGCTGATAACACTAGGTACATACAGCTGATAACACTAATTTATTGTATATATATAGCTGATAACACTATGTATATATATAGCTGATAAAACTATGTATATATAGCTGATAACACTACATGTATGTATATATAGCTGATAACACTGTATATATAGCCGATAACACTTAGTATATATAGCTGATAACACTATGTATATATAGCTGATAACACTATGTATATATAGCTGATAACACTTACCATATATAGCTGATAACACTTACTATATATAGCTGATAACACGTAGTATATATAGCTGATAACACTATGTATCTATAGCTGATAACACTCAGTATATATAGCTGATAATAGACAGTTATCCAAGGCATTCTTCCGTAAAAAAGAAAAAATCATATTTTGTGTTCTTTTTGTGAGGTTGCGAATCAGATGATATTGTTGTTCATTTATCCCTCTGATATTTAGCCATGAATATAGTCGTGGGAACTTTCAAAATATATATTGACTTATCTATAGTTTGAGACAACCAGTGTCGATAGTTGACTATCATATCATTTACCATGTAGTGGTAGTTGTCATTGTAGCGTGTTTTGCCCAATTTCTAGTCACAATCGCAATAGTTGCCAAAGTCGCTCTGACGATACATCCAATCTGTTAGAGTTGACTTCAATACTTCTATGTACGCGGATGTACGCAAAGAATGCACATCAGTTTTTAGGTTTACACTTCATAACCGCAAAACAATAATAATACAAAAACAGTATAAACAAAAAAGTCAACAATAATAAATTCACTGACTGCTTATTTAACCATAAACACAATGATGCGAACCTATTGACATTGTTAAAGGGCAATTACGAACACTAGTCATGACAGTACTCCGTTAGTTAATGGAAACATTAACGGAAAAAAGGCTTCGTTAGCCAATTAGAAACCTTGAAATTGCTTGCAATTTATTTATTATGTTGAAGTGTTGGTAGTTCGAGCTAAGCGTGTTGCTGATTCCATACCAGTGTTGTCAAAGCTCCTGCCTGAGTTCTAAAGCTACATTATTTTTTCAAGCAATTTCAAACAATTAATTTATTTCGATAAAATCCAAGGCTCCGCCCCAGAATATCAAATGGTCGGTCTCTTAGAGAGCCAAAATTAGTTTTTTTGTTGCAACTTTAATACATGCACATTCAATGGCTGTTAAATAATAATTGAGAAGACATTCAGCATTGATTACATACAGATCCATTAAAGTTGCAATAAAACAGCGTTAATATGGAAGTCTTTTGGAAGAACGATTAGAGAAGTACATGAAAACGGGCGACCCGGCTGGGGTCAGACAAGTCAAGTCACATTTATTCTCATAAATCACAATATGTGATACAGTACAGAGAGGATATGTGTTTGTGTGTGTGTGTGTGTGTGTGTGTGTGTGAGAGAGAGAGAGAGAGAGAGAGAGAGAGGGGGGGGGGGAGAGAGAGAGAGAGAGAGAGAGAGAGAGAGAGAGAGAGAGAGAGAGAGAGAAAATGCATAGAGAGTCATAATATTAGTTGTAAAAATAGTGAGTTGTGTCCAGGGTGAACCGCGGGCAATGTTTGAATTATTACGGATTTTTTTCACAAACGTGGGGTTAGTGGAAAATGAAACAAAAGTGCAGTGATATATTGTTTTGAGGTGAGTGAGTGAATGAGTTGTGTTTAACGCCGCTTTCCACAGTTTTCCAGTTATATCGCGGCGTGTCAGCTTAATGTGGGAGAAAAGCCCGAAGTGATGCAACAACATTTTGCGTCTTAAATTGCCTGTAAGTTCTAAGCTTATTGCCATTTACATTACCCGTGCCCCCTTATAATAATAGTATAAGATACATACATAGTATGTGTGAGCATGTACAGATATACAAATACATACTGGTAACATTATTAAGTTCATTGAGGCATTGATATATTTGGAAAAAATTGTTAGGATGAGCTTATCTTGCATAGACATTAGTGATATACTAGTATATTTTTCAACTAAAAGGTATTTGCAATAGTGTTTTGGAAGATATCGATTTCTGACATCTAAGTTAGGGAATTATAACTTGAAATGTAACTCGCCACCTATTCCAAGATCACATAAGGTACAGATTCTATTTTTGTGTACATTGACCAGTTTCCATTGGGAGATGATGATGACCTCATCTATATTGACTTAAACATAATCTTAGGTTTACAGGCAGAGATGATATATAGTTTGATTATATGTAACTGCTTAAACACAGAATAATAAAAACCTTTGGAAGAGGAGGTCATCTCTCTTCTCCAATCTTGATAATATTGATCTATCAGAGTTGTTGTAGCTTTATACTTCAACCATGAAATGCCAGATAACGACTGAGATAGCCACACATAATTTAACCCCGTGCTCGCCAGTATAGTTTTAATACAAGATAAAAGTGGGAAGTTATAATTACTTTTACATTGATGTATCGTATGCATATGGCCATATGCTGCATTCACCAGCTTATTTGGTGATAGTCATATTTTACTCCAATATGAAATCATTCTAGTTTTTATGATAGTTTCTAGTGGGTATCTCCCAAGTTCTCAATAAACCATGAAGATTGGAGTCGATTGCTAACTATAAATTTTCGATTGCAATAATTCAAATGAATTCTTTCAATCATAGCTGACTTTTCAAAGCCCAACACTTCAGAGGCATATAATAATAGTGGTTTAACGATGTGTTCAAACAAATGTAATTGATAGTCGACGGACATTTCCAACTGTCGATTCTTTGTGAAAAAAGACAATCATGGCTCTGGAAGCTTGCACGCTTAGACGTTTTTGTGCCTTACAAAATCGACCATTACATGTATAATATCCCCAGATATATATAGCTTTTGACAATATTATATCTAGTGCTGAACCCTGTAGAATAAATCTATATTCTTGTTTGGGCGAACGTTTTGAAGAAAATGATTATTTTTGTTTCCAAAGACTAAAATAATCACTAAAAGCTTTTAATGATTTCTGAAGACCCTTATCCGTTTCTGACATCAGTACTGTGTCATCTGAATATAATGATATAGAAGCTTTAGAAATATATGTACAACATGCTCCATTTGACCACTAACACATTTCAAACCAGTGACATCATTTTGTAAAAGGTACTGCTCAAGATCACTTAAATAGAACGTAAATAGGAACGGTGACAGATTTTCACCCTGTCAAACACCGGTTTTGCAGTCAAAGAATGAGGATCTCTTTCAATTACCAGACACACACGATTTAATACTTTGATACATATAAGATATGATTCTAAAATATTTTCCTTTAACATTGCTATCTATTAACTGTGACAACAGTCCACACAAAAATGTTCCCCAACATAGATCGCAGTTTGATTTAAGATGTAAAACTTTTACACTTGATTTTATTGAATCTTACAGATATCTTGAACTATGAACTATGGTTAAATGAGAACCTAGACACGAAGAAAACTATTACAGAATTGTATAAATTTGCGAGCCACGTCCGATCATCTTTAATTACAAAAAAAAGTAGCTGGAGGTATTGTCATATCCTGTTTTGACGAACTAAATTTACTTTAGTAGTTGAAAGTAGGTAGACCACCACACTAGCTCCTTCACATGTGAGAAGGCTGTTATCAAGTGTATTACCAGTTTACAGTTTAGTTTATTCTCAGAAAAAAACACCAACGTTGGTGCATGAGAAAAAGGAATAATATAAATTCATATGTAATAATTAAATCAAGACGACTGGGGTATTGTGCAAATGTATATAGAGATTGAAAGTTACAATGGAATATGACATAAATAAAGTGACAAGAATCTCAAGCACGTTTTTAACAGCTTCAACAATCCTAAAGATAGTATTGATAAATTTAGACAAGTTTTTCATATCTTTTTTTCTAATGCTGGATAAACATTTTTTTTCAATTGGTACATATTAGGCTATTCGGGGAGATCTTTAGGTATGTACATAGACCACGACTAGAGAAGAGCTTCACACCTGAAGACGTAATGAAACTCGTCACTAACCGCGGGAGAACTACATAAATTACACAAACATTCCACTCATGGCACATCAGACTAGCGCGGCCATTTGCAATAAACAGCCCGGTTTGATAACATAGTTCTATCAATTTGAACCCGTAATTATTAAATTATTAGCCTCTATGTCCATTGAAGAGATCTCCACTGGTATGCTGCTGTGTATCAGCATTTGCATGTCTGAGTGTATTAAGTCTACACCAATGTGATTATTATACCCCCGACCTAAAAGGGCTGGGGTATACAGTTATACCAAGGAATTCCGTCCTTCTTTCTGAGGACATTTTTGTGTGCGACCTATAGTTTGACAACTTATAGCTCCATTGATTCTTTTCAAACTTGGTGAACAACTTCTATACCAATAAGAGAGGTGCAGTGCAAAGTTAGATTTCACTATTTGGATTTTCTGAAAAAATACAGCTTTGTCATATTTTTACTAAGAATTGTTTTTACTTCAACATATGTGCGACCAATAACTTGAAAACTACTTCATGGATTTTTTTTCTTCTAATTTACGGAACAGTTTCCATACCAATAGAAGAGGTCCAGTGCAAAGTTGGAATTTGATATGTTGATTTTCTGGAAAAATGTGAAAGTTGTAATGTTTTGAACTTATGTTTTTTCACTTCAACATTGGTGCGAACTATAACTTGTAGACTACTGCATAGATTCTTTTCAAACCCTGTAGAGTATTTCTATACCAATAAGAGAGATTTGCAAAGTTTGATTTCGATAAGTGGATTTTCTGAGAAAGTATTGTTTTCCTTGTTTTGAACATATCATGGAGTCTACAATTCTGGGATATTGGTGAGCCCTGCTCACTTTCTGCCTTGTTGTTACAAAGAAAGCTATCTACGGAAACGTAGTGGGGCCACGGTGAATACTTTTTGTCTTAGTATCTCCTACGTAGGACTTAGTATCTCCTACGTAGGACTTAGTATCTCCTACGTTGGACTTAGTTTCTCCTACGTAGGACTTACTATCTTCTACGTAGGACTTAGTATCTTCCACGTAGGACTTAGTATCTTCTACGTAGGACTTAGTATCTCCTACGTAGGACTTAGTATCTTCTACGTAGGTGATACTAAGTCCTACGTAGAAGATACTAAGTCCTACGTAGAAGATACTAAGTCCTACGTAGGAGAGACTTAGACAACATAAATTTCACCGTGGCCCCACTACGCTTCCGTAGGTATCAGTCAGTGAAATCCTACAATGTTTTAGTCCTAGCATTAAAATCTCCGTTATACACGCATAGTCTAACTTAGAAAAAATAGTTATCAAGTCACTGGATTAGAACAGACACTGTTTTCAGGTGGTGTGTGGTCAAATATGAGTTACAGGTTGTCAGTTATAGTCAGCAAGTCTTTCAATAAAATACACCAGATAACAATTTCACATAATATTAAATTACTCAACTTATATAACGTTATGGACTTCTGAAACCTGGCCAGATGTATTGTACAACTGTTAGGTTAAATTGAAAAAAAAAATAGAACATTTAGCACACACCGCCATCTTGAAATGAATACTGTATAATGTATATAGGTATATACTCCACCACCGTTGTTTTTTTCGAGAATAAAATTGACTGATTTGTCAAAAAGAAAACAAAGTTAACATGAGTAACGGCTCAGTATAAGACTACAAAGTGTAACCGGTATATCGTGATGCAACCCTTTATCACTATGTATTGCATTGCGATCAATAAGTGTCGGAAAATTGAGGAGAAAATGCGTAAACAACTGTATTTCTTTGGGTTTTATTTTAATAACAGGGGAAAAATAAATGTATGGCGAAATTTTGGTCAGTTCAGAAGTAGAAGAAACATGAGAGTATATTGTCGCTGTAATTGTATGGTGAACTATGCAGGAGGGACAAGCAGGCCCACGGCACCATCCAACGTCACTTGATTGTACTACATCATTGTCTACGATAACAGCGACCCAACGTGTTGTTACTGTTGCACATTATCGCAACAAACAATGTCTCATTTTTTAAAGTTTGCAACTACATAACTCATATAAGTAGCAATAGTATTTCATTATTGCAGACCGCCTCCGTGGTCTAGTGGTAGAGCGTCCGCCCGGAGAGCGGAAGGTCCGGGGTTCGATCCCCGGCCGCGTCATACCAAAAGACGTTAAAAGATGGTTCTTGTTGTTACCCTGTCTTGTGATAGACATTAAGGGGCTAAAACAAGGACTGGTCGGCTCGGAGTCAGTACATTGTGTCTGAGTGGGGTATTCATGTTAAATTGCGGCATGGTATCTCAGTGGTGTAGCACTATAAATCGGCATCAGTCCGGGCTAGTACAAGCAGCTGCACATACACACCAAGCTGCACATGCACGCCATATAAGTGCAATAATCTTGGACGCGACGTTAAACCCCATTTCACCTCATCATATTGCAATATGTATCACAATACACATGATATAGACCTTAGTATCGCAATATATTGCAAATATAAATTTCAATTCAATGCACATATCTACTCGCTTCAATACATACATGTTTGTCTTGTATTCTGTTTGTTTGATGTTGTTTCACGCGGCACTCAGCAATATTCCAGCTATATGACGGCGGTCTGAAAACAATCGTGTCTGGACCTGACAATCCAGTGATTGACATCATGAGCACCGATCTACACAATTGAGATACGTGCTTGTCTTGTAGCCGGGACAACCCAGGCCGCGACGACGTCTGCACCATCCTGTCCCGACCCCCTTGGGGTCCCCAACGCCTACATCGTGACGTCTTCGCCGTATACCGAGGGAGACCTGGTGACATACCGATGCTATACCGGGTTCACGATGACCGGGGCCCCGTCACAGACCTGTGATTCTACCGGCGCATGGCAGGGGAACGAACCCACGTGTGCCCCCGTCGACATGTCGGACACCGTCAACCAAAACGTCAACTACACAGGTAGGTTGTATAAAAATAACGTCAACAATATTGTGAGAATTATTCTTTTGTGATAAACTCGGCTCAACAGGAAAAATCATATTCATGATAATTACGTCCAGGATACCGGTGAGAATAATTCTTTCATGAGAATCGAAATGTCAACTACACAGGTGAGAGTAATTCTCTCATGATAATCGTAAAGTCAACTACACAGGTGAGAATAATTCTTTCATGAGAAACGAAAAGTCAACTACACAGGTGAGAATAATTCTCTCATGATAATCGAAAAGTCAACTACACAGGTGAGAATAATTCTCTCATGATAATCGTAAAGTCAACTACACAGGTGAGAATAATTCTTTCATGAGAAACGAAAAGTCAACTACACAGGTGAGAATAATTCTCTCATGATTATCGTAAAGTCAGCTACACAGGTGAGAATAATTCTCTCATGATAATCGAAAAGTCAACTACAAAGGTGAGAATAATTCTCTCGTGATAATCGTAAAGTCAACTACACAGGTGAGAATGATTCTCTTACGATAACGTCGTCAACAGTTTAGGTGAGAATAATTGTACATATTTATATTGCTCCGAATCTACAACCTCGGACAGTCACAAGGTGTATGTCATTGTAATATTTTAGATTACAATACCTACAACACATTATTTTGTGATGCCATTATTCCAGACACGCCGTTCACGATGCCGGAGTGGGCCATCATCCTGGTCTGCGTGGTTGTCGGGGTGATACTCCTCCTGGTCTGTGCTCTCATCGCCGCCGCCATCTGTTCCATGTGAGCATAGAGTGTCAGCATAGACATAGAGTGTTAGCATAGACATAGAATGTCAACATAGAGTGTCAGCATAGACATAGAGTGTCAGCATAGAGTGTCAGCATAGACATAGAATGTCAGCATAGACATAGAGTTTCAGCATAGAGTGTCAGCATAGACATAGAGTGTCAGCATAGACATAGAGTGTCAGAATAGATCGTCATCATAAATTGTTAGCATAGAGTGTCAGCATAGACATAGAGCGTCAGAATAGATTACCAGCATAGAGTATCAGCATAGACATAGAGTGTCAGAATAGATGGCCAGCATAGAGTATCAGCATAGACATAGAGTGTCCGCATAGACATAGAGCGTCCGAACAGATTACCAGCATAGAGTGTCAGCATAGACATAGTGTCAGCATAGACATAGAGTGTCCGAACAGATTACCAGCATAGAGCGTCAGCATAGAACGTCAGCACATCGTATCAGCACAGGGTGTCGGCAAAGATATAGAGCTTCAGCAGAGTATCAACATAGAGCATCAGCATAGCCATAGTGCCAACATAGACAGAGAGTGTCAACATAGACATAGAGCGTCAACTGAGATATGGAATGTCAGCCTAGACATGTTCGTTTACAGATACCAGATCTAGTATACAGGGTAGGGAGCAGGAGTGTCCTGTATTAGTCTCTTTTGGGTGATCGTTGCTTCTAATCTGCGCTGGTCACATGTATTATAGTGTCACCACGATACTATTGTGGTTTTCACCAAAGTGGTAAACGTCTGAGACCTGCATCACTTCGAGCCTTCTTCCCACAAAAACTGACCCGCCGTGATATAACTGGAATACTGTTCAAAGTGGCGTTAAACCCAACCAACTCACCCAAGAAAGGCTGACGCTAAAATTGGTTGCAGAAACAAACGTAGTCTTAATGATAGTTCCTGGTGATACATCGTTCATTAGACGCATCTCTCAACTCAGAGCAGAAAACAGCGACCAAGACTGAACCTTTTTACTTTTTGTTTGTGGATAATACAAATTTGAGACTTTTAACCCTACTCACTTAATGTGTCCCTGACTTAAGTCGATTCAACCAGCGCTCAAAGCTGATCTTGCTTTCGCGATCGTTGCAGTTGTGTATACCTGTTTGTGGGATCGGTTTACAAGTACACATATCGGTTATTGCCGATTATTTAATGGAAACCGTACTTCTTGCAGATGTAAATGTAGACGATGCTGTAGCCGTGAAGGTGTGTCGGAGAGAAAGGCCGTAACCCACGTCAGAAACAACTCCAGGGTGGTGACCGTGTCCCCGGCCCCCGAGGTAAGAACGCCAGGGGGTAAGGAAGTCGTCATTTGTAACTGACGAATTTATTATCTCCCAAAATATCGTTACGCTGTTGCTTTCGGGGAAGAAATCGTTTAAACAATATTGCTGGTGAAAATTGGGTGAAAACATGTTCCAGCTATATGACGGCGGTCTGTGAATAATCGCGTCTGGACCAGACAATCCAGTTATTGACACCATGAGCTATTCCAACCCGGATCTTCGCGGGTCTAACGACATATATAAACATAACAGTTACTGTATTACATACCACAGTGTAACTAGAAACGTTGCGCTTTACGGACGTGTTGATCAACTTAATTGGTACATATACATACTGTCATGTAACCTAAATACAACCCTGAATTCCCCCAACAACACTTAGATTTCAGTCTGAGGTGTGTAGAATGTGGTATTTGTGTTCAGGTTCTACATGAGAAGTCTCGGTTTGCCAACATTGTGCAGGAGGTGATCGACAACAAATCGGCTAAAGAAGTGAGGGGCTGGATGCCACATTCCCACCCTGTCAGACCCATCAACACTAGCACCAAGTGATCAGGGTGGGGAGGGGAGGGGTGATGAGGGGAGGGTGGGGTGGGGTGGAGAGGATTGGAGAGGGTTGGGTGGGGTATGTGTAGGGGGTGGAGTGGATCGACACAAGCACCAAATGATCAGGGTGGGGAGGGGAGTGGGGGAGAGGGTTGGGTGGAGTGGGGTGGAGAGGAGAGGAGTGGAGAGGGTTGGGTGGGGTATGTGTAGGGGGTGGAGTGGATCGACAAAAGCACCAAGTGATCAGGATGGGGAGGGGAGTGGTGGAGAGGGGAGGGGTAGAGAGGGTTGGGTGGAGTGCAGAGGGAGGTTAGGGGTGGAAAGGGGAGGGGTGGAGAGGGTTGGGTGGATTGGGATGTAGAAGGGAGGGGAGGGGTGGAGAGGGTTGGATGGGGTTGGGTGTGTGAAGGAGATGGAGTTGATTAACACCAGTACAAAGTGATTGGGGTGGTTTGTTTTGTGGCGGGTTGGGAGGATTTCTAGTTGGTGGGTTCATTACCATGTGTAGTGAATAGGAGCTAGTTTATTGCCAGTTGAACGCTTTGTTAGTCTATCAACCAAGGAACTAACCTATAGGGTAAAACAAACGAGCCAGTCATTTAAAGTTTATATGTGTAACTGTATGTATTGCTATTTATGTCTGGTTTAACTTCTCACGTTGTATTATTTGATTAAACAGAGCTTCTCCTATTTTTCTGTTGGCGATTTAATGAGGGCTTCCAGTGAAGCCGATTTCACACTTGGTATCATGCCCGAAGAAGCAATGGTTAGGTCGGGCAATTTTCAATTTTATGTTTTTGACAGATTGATTTTGTCAGAGTGAAGTCTTGTACAAGTCCGGACTAATGCTGTTTTTATAGCGCCAGCCCAAAGACATACTATGCTGCAGATTATCATGGATAAACACTTGACACCAGTCCCTGTTTTAAACCCTTGAGGGTGAGCGCCAGGCAGTGTAACAACACGTCATTTTTTAACGCCTTGATGTGACGTGAGCAGGGGATGGAACTACCGACCTTCTGCTCATCGAGATCCCCAAACTGGCATCAATGGTCCCTCATTGTGATCCCAGGATGCTTATGTTAGTGGTCTTGTTGGTTGGTTTGTTGTTTAACGCCGCACTCAGCAATATTCCAGCTATATGACGGCGGTCTGTAAATAATCGAGTCAGGACCAGACAATCCAGTGATTAATATCATGAGCATCGATCCACGCAATTGGGATCGATGACATGCATCAACCAAGTCAGCGAGCCTGCCCACCCAATCCCGTTAGTCGCCTTTAACGACAAGAATGGGTTGCTGAAGAGCTATTCTACCCCGGAATCTTCACGGGTCTAGTGGTCTTGGAGTGAGTGAGTGAGTGAGTTGGGTTTAATGGTGCTTTTAACAGTATTACAGTTATATCACGACGTGTCAGTTTAATGTGGGAGGAAAGCCCGAAGTGATGCAGGTCTTAGACGTCTACCACTTTGGCGAAACCCACAAGCACGGGTATTGGTCTTGTAGACAAACATGGAGTACTGCCAGGGAGTAGACAACTCATACTGACTCCAATGGGCACCTAATCTGAACCTGAATCCTTTTGCTGCATAAACCAAGTGACAAATTGTTTGTTTTTTGTTGTTTTAGGCCACACGTAGGTATTGTATTCTGTTTGTTTGATGTTATTTAACACGGCACTCAGCAATATTCCAGCTATATGACGGCAGTCTGTAAATAATTGAATCTGGACCAGACAATCCAATGATTGGCATCAGGAGCATCCTATGCTCACTAGGATGATGACATGCATCAGCCAAGTCAGCAAGCCTCACTACCCGATCCCGCCAGTCGGCTCGTCTGACAAGTAGGGGTTGCTGAAGACCAATTCTAACCCGGATCTTCACAGGTGAAGTGACAAATTGAGAACAAAAGTCAGCTATCGCAATAACCCTGTTTAGTACTGCCATAAAAAAAGACAAACAAACAAACAAACAAACAAACATAACAAACAAGAGTATCACTGAGATGACAGTGACCTAGTCCTGCACCTTAACCATGGAATATGAAATATATTTTATGAAAAAAAATATATCTAGAAACGCATACAAAGAAGCAAGTCTAGCCAGCTCAAGCTAGCTCTGAAATCAACATAGGGAAATATTTTTTATTTTAGAGTCAAGAAGGATATTGACTAATTTAAGATTTTAGAGACTAAATGTTAATCTAACAGTGACCTTAAACCTGATGTTACACAAGCAGAATGGAAGAACTACTGAACACTATACTTATCCCTATGGCCGATAATTTGATATTCTGGAGAGAAAAACACAAAAAGCAACTTTGCCTCAAGTTTTACCAACAAAATAAAATTGCTTACATGATATGCTGGAAGTCCTAAAAAAATGCGTTATGAAAAATACAAACAGTTTGGTATCTCCTTTCAGAGTAAAAAATGGTATGTTTTGAACCAGTAACCTAAAACATATTCTGCCTGTTAAAGTAATTCCGACCCCCAACCCCCATCTCCAGAATGTTCAGTGACCAGTCCCTGATTTAAATCATTGATATCTGCAGTGCTAATGATATCGGGGAAAAGAAATTAAATCAACCAATAAGGTCAGACCAATTTAGTTTCTTCTTTTAGGGTCGAATTAAGTACACTACTTTGCTGCGTAGAAATCTGACAATGATAAATTTTGTTTGCTTGAAAAAGACAAGTTGACATCTTTCTGTTTATATATTAAAATTTAAAAAATTCACGATATTATTTTATGAAATTAAGTGCAAATCAATCCTTATAACATCTTGTTTTTCAGTTTGCCTTATGTGCAATATGTTGAACCAGAAATAACTTTGGTCTGTCCCAAATATATAAATATGTAAATAAATATGTAAATAAATATGTAACATATTATTGTTATAAAATGTGGTCATTTGACCAAGGATAATAAAGAATGTAACAGTTACAAACTGTAAAATTGATAAAACTGAAACATCCTTTGAAAAAAGGCACATTTTCCATCTATGTAGAAGTCATAAATACTGAATCATAATCCAACAAATTAATACAGATTAATCGCAATGAATGAGATCACAAAGGCCAATTAATGGCCATTTTGGTCAGTGACATCAAGTAGTCCCTGGAGTTGACTAAGGCTATATGAGATGCTATCCATTAGGCCATCCTTCAGTAGCTGCTTTAAAGAACTTTAAAAATTTGAATCTGTGATAAAAATAACAATTAGATCTTTCTTCTTTTTTTGTAACAAAATGGCAACAGCAGAATAAGTAAACAATTCTTATTCTCTATTTTTCGCTGAACAGGAATGTTAAACATGTTTACATTTCAAGAAAGCCACACCACTAAACTTGAATTACCGTATTCGACGTAATAAGTGCCCCGCTCTAATAAGCGCCCACAGCGATATTGGCTAATATATTGGCTAGTGAACAATCCCAATCAGCACCGCTTCCGATTGATCAATGTACACAAGACTTATTTGTGTTATATGCACCCTTAAATATAGGCAATTAAATTCTGAAAAAATATATCTGTCGTACATAAACATTTCAGACTGTCAGTATAAACCACAAACTTTATCTTTCAAGTCTGTTTTTTCACCAAAATAATATTCTAATAAGAGCCAACCATTTCTAATTTTGAGAGCGCCCTGGGCGCTTATTACGTCAAACACGTTACATATGTTTCCTGATTCCTCATTCAAGTGATCCATATACCAACTATTAATATATAGAATGCCTTACCAGTGCCATGGTGCTATCAACCTTCAGTTATCTTCCTTCAGTTCTACACATGGCAAATCACACAGACATTGTAAATGGCTTGTTATTAAGAGAAAGTTGTCTTTTATAAGTAAATGAGATGTTTTACAGTTGTTCATGTGAATAGCGAGAAAACTATGAATGTTTCTTAAATGTCCAAAAACCCATAACATGGGGATATATATATTTTCTAAATTTCCTGCTTTATATGAAGCAAACTCATTTTATTATAGAGCCCAGTTCAATGTGTGCCACTGGTGTTTCATGGTATTCTTGGTGGGAAGAAAAGAACATGTGTAAATCTCTCATCACTTTCATCTCAAGGTACTGTATTATGATCCCATGGTAGATATTATACCACGAGCAGGAGGCGAGGGACGCATAAAACCCCATGTGCCCCTCGTGATCCTGCTACAACAAATTTATCTTACAGACATGTTTTAATATAACATTGTAAAAGAATTAAACAAATTCAAAACTGACTGAGCGGAGGTTACCTTGTGCAATGTCACATGACTTTCACTAACTCGGAAAAAGCGTGTGGCTTTTTGATTGGCCATAAGCAGGGTATAAGGGATTTATTCTGCCTCTCAGAAATCCACGTGCAGCCTGTCTTGCTCATGGTGGGGTATAAAGGATTTATTCACCCACTGAGAAATTTATTTCCCTCCAAGGCGGGATACATAGTATTTTATCAAGATCATGTGGACCAATCAGACCTCATCATTCTGACATGGAGGTATATAATGCTTATTATTCCGCATAATGTAAGAGAAATTAATCTGTCGACCCTTATGTGCAATATGTCACTCAGCCTCTCAAGGATGATCTTACCGGCAACAGAGTGTTGATATACCAAGGACATATATATCCTCTAAAATGATGGTCACAGACAATGACATTGGTAGAGGCTCCTTGTTCCTGTGTTTAAACCTGTGACAGACGTGGGGCAGAATGTTAGTCCTAAATAAATAAAATAGGGTTACCTATGCCTGCAATGTAGGACAAAGCTTACAGTAACACTGAGCTCCATGTCTATACAGACACACCATTGTTTCTTAAATAAATCAGATGAAAAAAACAGCATCACTCTGATAATGTAATCTGGATTACGCACCACAACATCAATATCACAAGTATAACACAAATCACAATGGTGTTTACTATATCAAGTGGAGGAATTCAAAACAAATAACAAACAGAATAAAATACAAAAAGCACAATCAATCAACAAACAACAACTGC